TGTTTCCAACCAACAATGTAAATTCTCTGATGTTTCAACGGACAGAGATTACGGTGAACAGACAAGATACGACACCACACCCCAGACAAAGAAAATCTTGAAGGTGGATTTTATTTTCCTGATTTGCAGAGATATGAGAGACTAAATAAAAAAAATCAGAGAATTCTCTTATAACGTCACTATTGATAAAGCGATGAACACATTATCCGAGAACCGTCCGTTGAGAAGTGATTTTAACGCGGGTTGGTCTATGTTGGGAACGGACCACGAACAGGGGAGCCGAATCCTAAACTGACGTAAAATAACGAAATGTTATACAGCCCAGACCAGCCTAACCTAACCTCTTTCGTTAACAAATATAAGGTTTACTCTAGAGGTTCAAAATTGGCGTGATAATGATTTTTAGAACCGAAGGGACACGCACGCACACACACGTCACCACTCGCTTTGAGGTGTCAAGGTGTCACACTCACTCTGTAACACCAACACCTTTCACTGTTAACACGTCACCAACTTATCTAATCTAACCTAACTAAATCTACTGTATATTAACCTAGTTTAAGTTAATCTAACCTAATCTAATCTAACTTAAGCTAACCTAGTTTAATCTAAGTTAACTTAATCTACCTTAACTTAATCAACCGGGATGATTAAGTTAAGGTAGATTAAGTTAGGGTTGATTCATCCCGAACTAAATCTAAGATAACCCTAACGCAAACCTGACCTAACCTGACTTCGACCTAACCTTAACTAGCATAACCTAACCTAACCAAATGCACGATGACACCCACGTATTTAATAGTTTTTTATTATCACTGCGCATTAACACAAAATAATAAGTAAATAAAAAAAAACTTAAATTTAAAACAGGATAAAGCAAGGTGTTGGATTAAGAACAGAAGGTAATGTTTTCATACGTAATAATAATAGAATAGTAGAATAATGCCAAAAAAAATACCACACGAATAGGTTGGTGAGCCATGAATTTACGAGGGAATTATGCAGACCAAATAAGACACCCTGAGGAAAGATCAGGGGGGAGGAGGTGAAGGCAGGACAAAACCTAACCTCTCCCCCCCCCCCCAAGCACCAGTTAGGGTCAACGGTATATCATTAACTGGTGATAATCTGGCTTTATATGACGCATTGTGTTATCCACCTTCAGGGCGTGTGGGCTGTTCATATGTCAGTCGGATTACCTGAGGATTTGTGCAATAACGGATGGAATGTGTTAATGAGGTAGTCAAGTAATGTTATTTAGTGTGTGTGTGTGTGTGATTTACCTGTTCGTTTGTTTGTGTGTGTGTGATTTACCTGTTTGGTACACTCACCCCCACACACACACACACACCAACGTTCGTGCAGTGAGTGTAATTTTTCCCCGGGTATAATACAGACGATTATATTAGAGGAGAAGGAACAGTCAAGAGACGCATCAGGGTCAATGGTCGTCCAGTTTGTGACTCATTACAAAACAAAACTAATTCTACACATGGCGGTGCAGAGGGAGGAGGAGATAACAGTGGTCCATCACCCGTAAATAAGGGATTTTTAAATGATTTCTTTTAGAGTCGTAAGTCACCTGGATCCGACGTCTCCCATTTACGATATTTTCATCTTTCTCTTACGTGAATTAATCAGATTCCTGGACTGGTATGTGAAAGGCTCCTAGGTTGTTTGTTTTGCCCTAGAAGTGATGATGTTTTTGTAAAGGTGTTTTTGTTTATATTCGTGTGAGTAAGGACTGAAGGGGGAGGTGTCTTTGGGGACCTAATAAGAGAGGTGTAAGTGTGACAGGTGTTGTTAAGTGTGACAGGTGTAGTTAAGTATGACAGGTGTAGTTGTTAAGTATGACAGGTGTAGTTGTTAAGTGTGACAGGTGTAGTTAAGTATGACAGGTGTAGTTAAGTGTGGCAGGTGTAGTTAAGTGTGACAGGTGTTGTTAAGTGTGACAGGTGTAGTTGTTAAGTATGACAGGTAGTTAAGTGTAACAGAGGTGTTGTTACATGACAGGGTGTAGTTATGTGGCAGAAGGTGTGACAGGTGCTGTTAAGTGTGACAGGTGTAAAGTTAAGTGTGACAGGTGTAGCTAAGTGTGACAGGTGCTGTTATGACAGGTGTAGTTATGTGACAGGTGTTGTTAAGTGTGACAGGTGTAGTTAAGTATGACAGGTGTAGTTGTTAAGTATGACAGGTGTAGTTGTTAAGTGTGACAGGTGTAGTTAAGTATGACAGGTGTAGTTAAGTGTGGCAGGTGTAGTTAAGTGTGACAGGTGTTGTTAAGTGTGACAGGTGTAGTTGTTAAGTATGACAGGTGTAGTTATTAAGTGTGGCAGGTGTAGTTAAGTGTGACAGGTGTTGTTAAGTGTGACAGGTGTAGTTGTTAAGTATGACAGGTGTAGTTGTTAAGTGTGGCAGGTGTAGTTAAGTGTGACAGGTGTTGTTAAGTGTGATAGGTGTACTTGTTAAGTATGACAGGTGTAGTTGTTAAGTGTGACAGGTGTTGTTAAGTGTGACAGGTGTTGTTAAGTGTGATAGGTGTACTTGTTAAGTATGACAGGTGTAGTTGTTAAGTGTGACAGGTGTTGTTAAGTGTGACAGGTGTACACAAGGCAAGGTTGTGTATACATTTCATACCGCCCACACCTCTTACCAACACTCCCATACACAAAATTAGAGAGATACAGTGTGCATTAATAAACAGCTAACGTTATATTGGTACAAATACACGACCCAAGACTCATCACATGTCTATATAAACACCGAGAATCAATGGTGGTCCGCAACACTAACCTGTAGGTCCGTAATGATCGATAATTTATCCAAAAAAACACACACGTGCACAACTATTCCCAGGCAAGCTTCATGAGAGCTCTTGTCTTACTGCCGGTAACCTGCCTCATCAACCTGCAACAGCTGATTTCTCTATAGACTCTGCATTCCATTCACTCAGCGGTGACAACATCACTCTTACGGTACTGCGGCATAAGGTTCAATAAGTACTATGCCTGGTGAATCATGTTAACCTCGCGCGGGGATATAACTTCCCTCTAGCGACCAGGAATTGAACTATGGTCGCCATGGAAACGATGTAAACAAACGGTGTCGACCAATACGGGAGGACATAGTCGCAATGGTGTCTAGACCGCCATGGGGTGAACTGCTGCTCTCCGATCACAGGAAAAATACAATGAATAGCGAAGAAAATAGATTAATAACGAAAATAGGGGATAGCCGAAAGTTGATAGTAAATAATAGGAAGAAACAGTTATCGATTTACTATATGTCCTCGGGAAAGTAGTACTATACAGTAGGTAGTAGCTAGGTAGTTAGGATGAAATAGTTGTAGAGGAGATGAGAACGCTGTGAGTTTGAGTGATCATTGAGTAAATATGAGACATTACTATAGGGTGATTCATAACTGAGGATCCAGACGTACATAATTATTAGTACTGCTGATGCCAACACGTATTTCGTATGCTTAATGATATTAATATAATAATGGTTGCCGTAACGAGGATGGCCGGCCCAAGAGCCACCTAGATATGAATTTGTTGAAGGTGTAGAAGCTCTCACCAACACAACAACCACACCCTCAGTTAACGAGCTGCATGACCCAGTGTCAAGGAATAGTCCGAGAAGACCGGACAACACGCCAACTGCACTGGCTAACCATTACCCTGGAATACGATCCGAAAATCGATTTACGTCCAGATTCCCAATTACTGCTGGGTAGACAGAGGCAAATGGCGTAAAGAAACTTGTCCATAGTTTCACCCTGCCCGGGATCGAATTCGGGTCCGCTCGCTTGCGAGGCGAGCGTGCTGACCATTATAACACAGGTCGCCGTTTAATGATATTCTCACACACACACACACATACACACACACACACACAGACACCCTCCCACACACACACACACACACACACAGACACTTCCACACACACACACACACAGAGACACCCTCCCCACACACACACACACACACACAGACACCCTCCCCACACACACACACACACACACAGACACTCTCCCACACACACACACACACACACACACAGACACCCTCCCACACACACACACACACACACACACACCCTCCCCACACACACACACACTCACACACACACAGACACACACACACACACACACCCACACACACACACACAGACACTCTCCCACACACACACACACACACACACACACACACAGACACTCCTGCACACACACACACACACACAAGAGACACCTCCCACACACACACACACACACAGACACCCTCCCACACACACGCACACACACACACACACCGTACGTCAGTGATGATGGTATACTCGTCACAGTGGTAATACGTCATTATTTTGTTCATTCATAAGTACAGTAGGTGTGAATGGAGGCCAGTCAACACGTACTCAGGTGGTGACGTCACGTTTATGGAGGTGTGACAGGTAAGGTGACGTGTTCTGTTGTTTCTTGGTTATTTTCAAGGGCTCGGATTAACCACCCTAGCACTAACGCTAACCTAATCTAATCTAACGTTATCCTAATCTAACCTAACGCTAACCTAATCCAATCTAATCTAACGCTAATCTAATCTCACGTTAATCTAATCTAATCTGACGCTAACCTAATTTGATCTAACGTTAGTCTAATCTAATACTAATCTAACGCTAACCTAAGAAGAATGTGTGTGAAACTAGTGGTAAATGGAGGTTGGTTGTGTAGTGTACTCGTGGTGCTGGCGTCCGGTATGGATAACATGAGCCTCGCAATGTCTCTCTCTCGCTCACCAACACAATTAACCCAACCGTATTAGGCTGTTCGTTGACACACCCTCTCCCCCCCCCCCTCACCTATACCGCAATAGAACCACAATAAAAATAAGGTTGTTACATAATACAGTAGTCAAAAATGATGATTATATTTTGTGGTTTGCTTTTGAAAACTTGTGAAGAGGATGTGTCGTCATGTCCGCTAGCAGTAAGGTTGATGGTGTGGAGTGCGCTGTTCACTGTTGGATTCGTGAAGGCGCGGTCGTCAAGAGCATACAGCATTTACTGGTCCTGCACTTTCATTTAATTTTTTTTTTTACACCTAGACTTCCTACCCTGTAATACTTTCCTTCCCTTACCTTCTTCTTCTTCAACAACTTCAGATTTCGTCATCGGCCGTTTTGCCAAGTGGAAATTATCCTCAGCCTCCATCTTCACCTACAGGAAGGACTTTTGGGTTCGTCTCCTAGATGCAAAAACGACAGGAAGGGTAAGTTAGGCATTATTCTCACACACAGTTTGCCTAAGCTTCACGTAATCCAATCTTTATTATGACATACAGTGAGGAGACAAAATTTGGCATGGGCGCTAACGTAAAAAAAGAAAAAATGCGAGATATTTCAGTGTCAATTAAAATAAATCTAATTAGTGATTATTAGTTTTTTGTACCGTATCTACGAACTGAGCTATTTATTACGACAAATAAAACACAAATCACCACAGGAACTAGAAACTGCCCGTAAAGTGTTATTTTTTTCCCGTATATTATTGCTTATTTCCGTGTTGTGTTAAGTCGGTTCTTTTACCTCACCCAAATTAATGATTCCTTAAGGTAAATGTAATGTGTGTTTTGCTTACCCTGTGATGCAAAGGTGAGGAACTACTGTACTTCGTGTGGATTTTATTTCATTATTACCACGTGATAGTGATTTTCTAGATTTTAAACATTATGAAAAAATAAAAAAAAGTGACACACAAAAAATCAAGTTGTCCTGATAAAGAACATCTTAAAAGGTTTCGTTCATAAAGGCGGGAGGGTCACCACGGCGGAATAATAAGTGAGTTTCGTCTCAAGATTTCGTCCGCCATTGTGAGTTTCTTCTCTTCATATCTAAGTTATACAAGATCATCATCAGCTCCCTTTTTTGTAGTTCACTCACGTATCCCTTTCTTTAAAAAATTTCGGTATTAGAGGTGCCAAAAAAACTTAATTTCTGACATAACCCCAGAAATAAAAAGGTCAAGGGTGAACGAGCCTATAATAATAATGGGAGCCCCTCGAAATCGAGGATGGCCGGCCCAAGGGCCTCCTAGGCGTGAATTTGCTAAGGTGTAGAAGCTGTCGCCAACACAACAACCACACCTAAGTTAACGAGCTGCATGACCCAGTGTCACGGAATAGTCCAAGAAGACTGGACAACTCGTCAACTGCACTGGCTAACCATTACCCCGGAATACGGTCTGCAAATCGATTAACATCCAGGTTCCCAATTACTGCTGGGTAGACAGGCAAATGGCGTAAAGAAACTTGCCTATAGGGTGTAGCTCACAAACAACCAAAATCCCAGTGCCGAATGGGATATTCTGGACACTGCCATGGCAAAAACCTGCAGAGAGACCCTCGGCCAGATCGAAAGAATACACCAGGACTGGTTTGAGGAAAATGACCCGGCAATCAATGTACTCGTCGATGATAAACGTGCTGCTTTAACTGACTGACAGAACACCCCACAGTCTCTGACCAAAGCTGATACCTTCCGCAAGAAGAAAGCGGCAGCCAAGCGTGAACTCAGCAATCTAAAGAACGACTGGTTTTAATAAAGCACGTGAAACACAAAAAATTGCATATCAGCACAAGATGTGCGAACTTTTCAATTTCATTAAAACATTTTATGGACCAATCACTCGTGGCGCCGCCTGCCTCCGCTCATCCGACGGTAACTCCCTAATTAAAGACGATGAAGGCATCCTTCAGTGCTGGAAAGAGCACTACCATTCACTGCTCAACCGAAACACCGACGTGGATGTCCTGACTACCCAGCAGGTCCCTCAGCACCCAGAGCTGACCCACCTCAGCTATCCTCCATCCTTGGATGAGGTAACTACTGCCACCAAACAAAAGAAAAAATAAAGCCTCAGGGCCTGATGGAATCCCAGCTGAGGTGTATAAAGCAGGAGGACCTCTGTTACCAGCCGTCTCCATTCTCACCTGGAGAATATATGGGAAAAGGAGGAAATCCCCCAATCTCTTAAAGACGCCTACATCGTCAATATTTATAAGAACAAAGGTGTCGGCAGCTTCCATTACTGAACTTCAGTATGCAGACGACTTCACCCTTGTTGCTCACACTGAACGCGACCTACAGGAGATCCTGAACACCTATGCAGATGTGTGTGCACACTTTGGCCTTGAGGTGAATGTAGGTAAGACTCAGATTCTCTTTCAACCTGCCCCTGGTTCAGCCACACCTCCACCATCCATCCAGCTTAATGGTACCAGCCTTTCAAATGTTAACCACTTTCGGTATCTCGGCTCCCACCTGTCCACCACAGCGGACATCGATGAAGAGATTCAGCATCCGATCAGATGTGCATCTCAAGCCTTTGGCAGAATCCGAAACTGTGTCTTCAGCTGTAGGGAGCTGAAATTATCTACAAAGTTACACGTATATCGAGTAGTGGTCCTCCCCGCCCTCCTATATGGCAGCGAGACATGGGTCATATACAGGAGGCGCCTCAAGGTACTTGAAAACTTTCACCAACGTAGTCTACGTTCCATCCTTCGAATTCGCTGGGAAGACAAGAGATCAAATGTCAGTATTCTTGCTGACACCAATGGTTAGAGCATCAAGGCTACCATTATCCATGAACTACGCTGGACTGGCCATGTTACCCGCATGGATGACAGTAGGCTACCAAAGCAGCTACTTTACAGTCACCTAACGAATAGTAAGCGTAACGCTGGTGGGCAACTGAAAAGGTATGAGGATAGTCTTAAGAAAAACCTGAAAAGTGCCAAATCGACCCCCTCACTTGGGAGACGATCACTCCACACCGTGACGCTTGGAGGAGAACAATGCAAGAAGGTGTCAATACTTTCGAGTTAAACCGACTGCAAAACGAGGCAGACAAGCGCCAACGCCGGAAAGACGCTGCCATCGCCCCTCCCGCCCTAGATGTAGCCCACCACATGTGCAACATCTGTGAACGTATCGGCCTCCTTAGTCACCTCAGAACTCACCAACCTTGGTGACAACCTTAATAACTCATATCATTGTATCATAGCTGGATGATCGTCATACTCGATTCCGAGTGACAGCAAAGTAGTGTAGTAGCAGCGTTTAAGATTATAACCCGCTGAAAATATTCTTGGCCACGTGCCGTTCGATCAAATCATTTTTGAAAACTTGAGGTATGCTTGAGATTACCCTTCGGAATAAATAATTAAATTACGTTAAGTGAGATTACGTCAGATTAAGTTAGGTTAGATTAAGTTAGGATATTAGGTTAGGTTTGGTTTGGGTAATTACTTTTTATCGAACTACACATGCTAGGAACATTTTCAGCATGGTAATAATCTCAGCACGTGACACCGGCTACACCGCCCTACCCAGCGACGAGGCAACTGACGGAAGAAATCGGTAATAAAAAAAAATATTACGTCTTCATTCATTATCTTCTTTCTTTCACAATTCTCACCAACATACCGACTCCTATATCCCCAGTCGCCTCTCTCTACCTTCTGCCTCAACATGGTGGACATTTCTTTGTTGTGGGAAAGAGGAAAACTTTTACAACGCCTTTTTTTACGACATATCTTCATACCTTCTTACTCAAAATAGTGGAAAAGATATACTGTTGGTATAGAATGAGAAGATATATAATTCAGCTTAATTAAATGATCTGTTGTCCTTGGTAATAAAAATCATTTCATTGATGCCCAAACCACAAACCTCAATACCACAAAATCATGAGCACCAATACCAAATTATTCCCATGTCGTGACTGTCTTGATAATACTAACTTACCTTTTTGTCTCGCAATAAAATGAGAAGGAATATGAAGAATAATTTAATCCTTGAAAATTTGGGTTACCATAAATTTTATAATATCGTAGCGTTTAAGTCAAAGGGGGTGACATCGTCGTTCCCAGGGGGTTAAATTATCGTTCTCAATCATCGTTCTAAAAGTTAAATCATTGTCTTTAAAGGAGATGATGGCAGTGATAGACCAGCAGGCGTCGTAGCAGACAATGCCAGTAATAAACCAGTAGTTGCCGCAGCAGATGATAACAATTCAGCAGGCGTCGTAAACAACAGATGGCCCCCCAAGCAGTCAACATGTTGGCTTTGTGTGCCTATATCCTGTAGAATGATGAACGGATGCACCACGCCTTCGGGAGGGATATGACGTACCCCCAACCACAGTTACACGATACGTAGACTTTTCTTAGACGAACCAAAAGAACAACAAATACACACACGAAAAAAAAAATCATACTGAAGTCTTTTTAGAAGGAAGCCATTTCGTAACTACAGCCTGATTATTTTATCTTCAGTTTCCGAGAAAAACAATTATTGTCGGAATTCACTCATATCGAATATCCTGACCTTTAAAAACGAAACGACACCACCGGAAGTCATACTAAACCTTGAAGAGAGTGCACTTTTTTTTGAGGGGGGGGGCACTGAATGCTCTTTAGTCAGCTGCCTGTAACACCATAACAACAACAACAACAACTCTTTACTTTCGTTGTTATTTTTGTTGTTTTATTTCTATTTTTCTATTTTTTTTTAGATATTTCCATCGAGTATAATTCCAGATTCTCTCGTATCCTGAGTACAATCTTGATGCTGAGTTAACACGAAGAGGGAGGTATCAGTGTGGATGATAAACTATTGTATACTGTCCTCGGAGAAAACAAACTAAGGATGCGAGCAAGTGCGTGTGTGTGCGTGTGTGTTCCTAAATTAAAACTTTCGACACGTGCATTAGACAGACCAAACAATCACTAACATTACCTTGCTAACCTTGAGTGCATCTTCTATTCCTGTCTGTCTGTCTATCTCTCTTAGGGATGGAGGTGGTGGTGGTCGTCAAATACTCATCTTGTCTCTGCTATTGGTGCTGCTGTCTGCCCAACCCACTAACATGCAGGTAAGTAAATGGTGATCGTTTTCTTTAGTATTATGGATTGATTAGGCATCACCGTTCATGTAATTTTGTCACCTGATGATTAAACACCTTTAACCTAATTTAAACTAACTTAACTTTCCCCATAACCTAACATAACTTAACCTAAACTAAACTAACTTAATCTAACCCATAAATTAATCTCACTCAACCCATAACCTAACTTAACCTAATCTGACCTAACATGGCCTAGACTAATGTAACTTAACCTAAACTAACCTAACATAATCCACCCAGGTAGTGTTAGAATGTTTAATTGCCAGGTGAGCTAAGCTGGGGTGCCTTATCTTCATGTCATTTTTTTCTATATATTTGGAACAATTTTCTTACAAAAGAAGAGTTAAGTGAGACCTACTCGCTCAGGGGCGCGCGCGCGCGCGTGTGTGTGTGTGTGTGTGTGTGTGTGTGTGTGTGTGTGGGTGTGTGTGAGTGTGTGTGTGATAAAACTAATAACTATATACAGAATATCATCATTGAAAATACGAATTAAATTTAATCTAAATGTATACGAGCAACTGTACAACACACCCACCCACCCACCCACCCACCCACACACACCCACACCCACCCACCCACACCCACCCACACACACACCCACCCACCCACACACCTGAGAAAGCTAATTATTATAACCTCTCTTTATTACCACCACATGCAGACAGACAACATGGAGGACACTGTCGTAAGCAACACAGAAGCCGAGAAGAATACCAACCTTTATGGCAGTGACACGCCCTTCAGTGACACGCCCTTCAGTGACACGCCCTCCAGTAACATGCTCTCCAGTGACACGCCCTCCAGTGACAAACTCTCCAGTGATGATGCACTCCAGTGACACGCCCTTCAGTGACACGCCCTCCAGTAACATGCTCTCCAGTGACAAACTCTCCAGTGACATGCTCTCCAGTGACACGCCCTTCAGTGACATGCTCTCCAGTGACACGCCCTTCAGTGACAAACTCTCCAGTGACATGCTCTCCAGTGACACGCCCTTCAGTGACATGCTCTCCAGTGACACGCCCTCCAGTGACATGCTCTCCAGTGACACGCCCTTCAGTGACATGCCCTCCAGCGACATGCCCTTCGGTACTACTACTGAAGTCATCAATTCCCTGGGTAAGTGAACTGTATATCATGTAAGAAAGTAATAATAATGATGATAAAGATGATGATAATAATATAATAACTTTGTCTGTCTGTCCCAAACAAAACCAGAACACCCACACCGTCACTATGTTGAAATGAACTGTAGTTTGAGCTTTTCCCCATCTAGTTATTATATATCTTATTTGTATCACTTATGTTACTTGTATATTATTTGTAATTCGAAACCCATTCCCCAAATATGTAACTGTATATTTTCAGCCTTCTGTAGCGCTGAACAACCGGACGCTACATGATATTTACTTATCAAATTTGAAGGGAAGTCACACACACACACACAGTAGTAGACAGTCACCAAACAGGGAGGTACTACCGCCTGGGAAGATATTGGAAGCATAATGTGTTGCCTAATGATAGACCCTGCTGCCATACGGCGTTACGAAAATTGTGATCAAGTTTCAAGTTGCTGATCTGACTTTCTGCCTCATTTACACTCAATTGCCAGGTCTCAATTGTTTGTTTCTCTTACCATTGACAACACAACATACATATATTGTTAATCATTTTTGATCTTTTTTTAATTTTTGTATTTCTTTATGGTTCTTTATTATTATTATTACTGCAGTGTTGTTATTATTATTATTATTTTTATTTATATATTTTTTATTATAAATTTCACTTATCTGAATTATTATTATTATTTATTCGCCTCTGGGCCCTGATTTGGGTCAGTGCCCTGTGCCTGGGTGGCTAATACCCTTAAAAAAAAAAAGCTAAAAAATTTGTGGTCAGTTTCTCATTATTTTGTCACAATCCTTATAAGATTCGCTACGAAATTATGCTGAAAAAAAAGTGATATCAACTTTTTTCTTCCAATTACCTGGTTTTAATTGTTTTAAAGGCATTTTCTACCACCTGAGCATGCTTTATCTATCATCACCTGAAGATTAGAAACCTCAGGTCATTTCCACCCTAAGATTAACCACCCTAACGAACCCTCACCTAATAACTAACTGTAAGAGTGTACCATCGTACGATATGTTTTCCCAGGTTGAGTGGGGGGGCTTGTCCTTGGCAGCGCCTGATGGCCAGTGCCCAGCTGACGCTGTTATAATAAAGTCTATAGAAAACATGGTCTATGACTCCAACCTCTCACATGGCGCACAGTGAGTAGGATATGTCGGGGCCCGACACGCCATTACAGCCCTGACAAGAACGCTGACATGGCCCCTACACGTCCACGATTCTCGACGCCCTCAAGGGGACGCCAGGGCTTCTCTACACCGGCCGGGAACACCACGCGCGCCCAGCAGCAGGCCATGAGTGCATTGATGGCTCAGATGGCGTCTCTAGGTGCTGGCGGTGGTCATGCTTCTATGCCGGTCATGAAGCCCTCAGCAGCTGTCGCTCCAGAGAAGTGTGAGGCAGAAATGCCAGCAGCTGCGTTTAGGACATGGAGGCGGTCCATGGAGTCATGGGTGCTGCTGAACGGGTGGCCACAGCTGGTGGCCACACTCCACATTCGCCTGAACTGCGTCCCCGCACTCCAAAGAGTGATTGACTCGAGATACCCCAGCGGTCAGTGGGAGCAGCTCTCGCCCAAAGAAGCCCTGGACGCCATCAGTGGAATGGTTCTTCAATCTTCAAACCAAGCTGTGAAATGGAACGAGTTTTTCAACAGCAAACAAGGTGAAGAGGAGCCCATGAAAAGGTATTTTCAATGATGCTTCGCAGAGGCAGTGGAGTGTGAATTTAAATGTCCCACCTGTGATAACGACCTCTCTGAGTACATGCTATTACGTAAAGTTATGGTGGGCCTGAGTAACCCAGTGTTGAAAAGGGAAATTTTCCAGGGGTACTCTAGTTATAATAGTGTTGAAGTGCTTAGAAACAAATGCATGTTATTTGAGGCAGCAGTGAGAGATGCTGGTGTATTGTGTCGTACGTCTGGCCAGGCAGTGGTGGGAACAGTTGCGGAGGCAGTGGCGGGTGGTGATGACGTCACCGGTGAGCCTGAGGTAGCTGCCGCCCGACCTCCACACCCAAGTCGAGGACACTGTGGTAATTGCGGCGTGTCACATGCACCTGGTAAAAGTAACTGCCCTGCAAGTGGGGCTACATGTCGCAATTGCGGTAAGGTTGGTCACTTCAAAAGGTGTTGTAGGAGTAAGTCAACCCTAAGTGCTCCTGTGGATGTGTCAGGCGCTGTTACAGTGGCAACAGCCCAGCTATCCCGCCACCCCAGGTTACAAGTGTTCGTGTCCCAGGCCGGGGGCAATTCCCCCGCCACCCCTGTGCTGGCTGTAGCCGACACGGGTGCTATGGTGTGTGTGGCAGGCGCATCCCTGCTCCGGGACATCGGTTTGTGTCCGGGGCAACTTCGGGCCCGTAATGGCTTAAGGGACGTGGCGAACAAACAGCTCAAGTGTCTGGGGTCCGCCCCCTGCCGCCTCGGTGTGGACGAGGGGTCCACCGTCCAGGAGGTCTACTTCGTGCAGACAGCCAAGGCCCTCTATCTGTCATTGGAGGCCTGCAAGTGCCTCAACTTGGTGCCTGTCGACTTCCCGCTCCATAGACGTGCTGTGGCTGCCGTGGGCGATGGAGGGGAGCGGCACACTGCCGACGATCTACCTCCGAACCGTTTACCTGAGAGCAGCCGTTTCCCGCCGAGGCCAGTTGAGATACCCTTGCCTCCTTTGGAGGAGAATGTGGCCAGGCTGGAGGCATGGCTACTCACGCACTTTTCGTCTACCGCATTCAACACCAGCAGGTCCCCACTGCCAGTCATGACTGGTCCCCCTCACCGTATCCACCTGACGCCCGGCACGACCCCCTACGCCTGTCACACACCCGCTCCCGTTCCGAAACACTGGGAAGCGGAGGTGAAGGCCCAGTTGGAGGAGGACGTCAGGAGAGGCGTCATCCAGCCAGTGCCTGCTGGTGAGGCTACGGAGTGGTGCGCCAGGATGGTCGTGGTGGCCAAGAAAAACGGTCAGCCCAGGCGCACTGTGGACTTCCAACGCCTCAATGCAAGCTGTCTGAGGGAGACGCACCACACACCTGCACCATTCGACATGGTGTCTGGGGTGCCAGTGCACTCGTTCAAAACCGTCGCCGACGCCTTTTGGGGATTTCATCAAGTGGAGTTGGAGGAGGAGAGTAGACGCCTGACCACATTCATCACGCCGTGGGGACGTTTTCGATACTGCAGGACGCCCATGGGACATTGCTCAGCGTCAGATGCTTACACCAAGAGGTTTGACGACGCTATTCAGGATGTGCCCCGCAAGTACAAGTGCGTGGATGACACTCTCCTCTATGACTCCAGTGTGAAGGGGGCGTTCTGGCACACTTACGATTTTCTGGAGACCTGCGCTCGCACAGGTATCACGCTGAAACCAGAAAAGTTCTTGTTCTGCAGGAGAGAAGCTGAGTTTGTGGGTTTCCTCCTGGGGTGGGACCTGTACCAGCCCACTGCCCAACGTCTGTCAGCCATCAAGGACTTCCCCATGCCGGATCAGCCATCAATCACTGACATCAGGTCCTGGCATGGCCTGGTTAATCAGTTGGCTCCCTTCCTTGCCACTGCACCTGTGATGGAGCCCTTCCGTGAGCTCCTCAAGAAGCCAGTGGGCAAGCAGGTGTATTGGGACGACCAGCTGCGGCTCAAGTTTCGCCAGGCCCAGGACACCATCTGTCAGTTGGCCAGAGACGGCTTGGTGTACTACGACAAATCCAGGCCTACGGCAGCTGTCACTGATTGGAGCAGGGAGGGCATCGGCTTCGTCGTCCTGCAACAATACTGTGCCTGTGCCTCTCCAGAGACGCCCTTCTGCTGCAGAGGAGGGTGGCGGTTGGCTCTGTGTGGTAGCCGACATCTGAGCACGGCCGAGGCCGGTTATGCTGCAGTAGAAGGGGAGGCCCTGGCTGTGGTGTGGTGCCTGCGCAAGGCCAGGCTGTTCCTCCTTGGCTGCCCGAACCTCATTCTGGTGACGGACCACCGCCCCTTAGTTGGCTTGCTAGGGGACAGAGCCTTCACGGATGTGGCGAATCCGCGCCTGTTCAGGCTCAAGGAGAAGACCCTGCAGTACCGATTCACGGTCAAATACTTGCCAGGGAAGCGGAACTGTGCAGCTGACGCCCTATCCCGCTTCCCCTCCCTCAGGGCGGCGCCTGATGCGGAGGACATGGACCAAGAGGAGGACCTGTGCGCTGCAGTGTGTGCAGTCACAATCGCAGCACTGGATCAGGATGGGTGCATCACTATGGACGAAGACACAGTGTGCAAAGCGGCTGCGGACGACCCAGTGTACCAGATTCTAGTGTCGAGGGTGCTGGCGGGCGACTGGCACCCCCACAAGTCACAGGAGGTGGCCTGTCTGCGCCCGTACTTCTCGGTGAGGGACAGGTTGGCTGTGGTCAGGGGTTTGGTCACCTACACCTTTGACCAGGGCTGCGTGCGCCTTGTCATCCCCGACTCCCTCCGCCACCGGGTCGCCGTTAACCTGCATGTGGGGCACCAGGGCCTCGACTCAATGCTCAGGCGGGCCCGGCAGTCTGTCTATTGGCCTGGCATGGAGGGTGACCTGCAGTATCATCGGTCCCGGTGTGCTGCTTGCGAGACCCACGCCCCTTCCCAGCCTCCGGAGTCGTTGGTTCTGACCCCAGCGCCAGACTATCCCTTTCAACAAGTGGTGGCCGATTTGTTCCACCTGCAGGGCCGCACGTACCTAGCATATGCTGACCGACTGACAGGTTGGCTGGAGATCGCCCACTTCCCCAACGAGGCCACCTCTGGAAAAATCATCGCCAGTCTGCGGGCCTACTTCACGAGGTGGGGGGTACCTGAGCAGATCTCCACAGATGGAGGTACCAACCTTGCCAGCCTTGAGATGACAGATTTCCTCAAGTCATGGGGGGTCGAGGTGCGCCTCTCGTCGGCCCACTTCCCCCAGTCCAATGGCAGGGCAGAGGCTGGGGTCAAGGCTGCCAAGAGGCTCCTCAGGGATAATACTGGGCCCGGGGGTAGCCTGGACTGCGATAGGACATCCCAGGCCCTCCTCCAGTACCTGAACACGCCTCTGCGGGGGGTGAACAAGTCGCCCGCCCAGCTTGCCACCGGCCGCCAGCTCCGTGACGGCGTTCCCGTGGCCAGACAGCACTATAAGGTGGACCAGCACTGGCGGCGGGCACTTCGTATGAGGGAGGTGCGCTTGGCCGAAACACAGGATGGGGTCCTGTCGCGGAGGGAGGTATCCCGCCAGCTGGCTCCCCTAGTCGTGGGCACGCAGGTGCGTGTGCAGGACGCAGCTACCAAGCTCTGGGACAGGACAGGCATAGTGGTGGAAGCCCGCCCTCACAGGCAGTATGCCGTCAGGTTGGGTGGCAGTGGCAGGGTGTCCATCCGAAACAGACGCCACTTGCGAAACGGCTCCACACCTGTGCCTACTACTCCGGTGGTGCACCAAGCTGTGCCTCCTGGGCCCCCTTCTGCTGTGCCCTCCATACCCGCGCCCTCCTCCGCACCCACGGCCCCTCCCCAGTCGAGCGCGGCCAGGCCCAGGAGAGGCCGTAGGCCTCCGGGCTGGTTGACGGACTACGTGGTGTAGTGTATGTGATGTAAAATCAGTTTAGAGTTTTTTTTTGTTTTTGTTTTGTTTTTGTTTTTTTTTCCCTTTGTTTGACTGGTTTTTCCTGCATTATTGTTGTTTTTATGAATGCATTGTTTTCCTTTTGTTAGTTCAAAGGTGCATTGTCATTTCCTTTTAACTTGGGGGGGAGATGTAAGAGTGTACCATCGTACGATATGTTTTCCCATGTTGAGTGGGGGGGCTTGTCCTTGGCAGCGCCTGATGGCCAGTGCCCAGCTGACGCTGTTATAATAAAGTCTATAGAAAACATGGTCTATGACTCCAACCTCTCACACCTAACAATCTAACGTAACTAACCTAACCTAACGTATGGGTTATCGGAATACATCATACAGCCTATAACGTTAAGTGGACACTGAATATGATAAATTTTCTTCCGTAGCTACGATAGAGTTACGACTGAGAGAAGATGACAACTGGCTGAGCGTAACATGGGATCCGACAGACCTGTCAGGAGAAGGGTAAGTCGTTCATTCAAAGCTTTCCCTACGTTATTTATCCATGTTTGCTTTCTATTTGTACAATACCCAATTTCTCCTTATCTCTCTCTATCTCTTTCTCCGTATGTGCAACACTTTTAGAATACCCTCTTTGTTTTCAGGCTATCTCTTCCTCCCCATTATCTCTATTTCTTTACCTATCTCTCTTTATCTCTATGTGCTACACGTCCATTTCTTATCCACATCCTGTCCTTCATTTAGTATAGAAGTTGACGTATATTCATCATTTAATAAATCCTTCAACTGCAAGTCTCCTTTACGTCCACATTCCAATCTCAGTAAGTTGTCTTCGGCTGTAGACATCTTCATTCATTATCCCTGCTAACCCTTCCCACCCAGCGTTACTTAAAGTTGAGAAATTAGGTTTTTTTTTTTTTTTACCAATTCTCATAATCCGTTTTGATATTCAATTCTCTACTCTTCCTCCCGACAGGTAATTCATCTTCATAACCCTCCCTTTCTTAATTGCAAATGCCTCTCAACAGGTAACCTCTGCCATTAGGTACAGGTAACCCAATTCAACAGGTTAACCCTCTCTCAACAGGTATAAAGTATGTGTCCTATGCCAGAGAGACGATGACCCTTGTAACTGCGGAAATTGCATGAATCCCCCAGAGAAAATCACCAACGAAACCACCATCAAGTTTCAGACCGAACCTAGCACCAATTATAGTGTGTGGCTCACTCCTCCTGACGCTCTGTGTAATGGTAATGGAAGTGATGTCTACTCTCTGACGACGAACCATAGCAGTGAGTGAGGGATGAACGTTGGGGGTGTTGAAGGGAGGAAGTGGGGGAAAGAGAGAAGGGGGTAGGTGGGAGGGTGATAAGGGAGGAAGGTAGTGGAAGAAGGGAAGAGGGAAGGAAGGAGGGATGGGGAAGAGAGTTGGGGTAGGTGGGAAGAGGAACTGTGGAAGGTGAGAAGAGAGTAGAAGAGGAAAGGTGGGAAGGGAGGGAGAAGGGAAGGTAGGGAGAAGGGAGGGAGGGGAAGAAATGAAGAGGGTAGGGAGGAGTTTTTTTTTTAGTTTAACAAATTTATTGGCAAAGCTTGTAGTACAGTTTGCCTATTCTGAGTAATTCAGTCAGGTCTTGACACTGAGGGTAGTATCACTTCTCACTGCCACGCAGGACAGAGGTTCACACACAAAGAAATACATCATATTCATTAACAGCTATATATATATAGAGGTCAGATTCATGTGGGTAATGTCACTGTTCACTGCCATGCAGGATAGAGGTTCGTACATAAAGAGATGCATCATATTCATTGACAGTATGCATACACACATATATATACACATATATATACATATACACACACACATACATAGGTCAGATTCATGTGGGTAGGGAGGAGTAGGGATGGGGAAAAGAGTAAGGATAGGTAGGAGAGAGGGGGAAAGAGGGACATGGGAAGGAAGGAAGGGAGGGGAGAGAAGGGAAAGGGGTTATATATGTACTGTACAATTAACCTAACTTTCTGTCATCTTAAAATATTCTTACCATTCTTTCCCCAGATCCAAGAGAGCCAAATGTCACGTACAATCGTGAAACTAGCCCGGTGCTAAGCTGGGAGACTGGCTGCCCTTATATTGGTCCTGTCAAATACACATTACTCATAGATGGCGTCGAGTTTAAGTAAGATGTTCGTCTGTCTGTCTCTTGTCTGGTTGTCAACATTCCTCGTACTGTTTATGTGTTATCACTATCATCTCTCTGTCTGTGTCTGTCTCTCATCTTGGGAATCTCTTTCTCTCAATGTTATAAAACCAAAACCTTGTTACTTTAATATTATTTTCGGGATCACCTGAAGATTAAACACCCTAAAGTTAACCTAACCTAAAATTACCTTACCTAATATGACATAACCAAAACTAACCTAATCTAACATAACCTAATCCAGCATTACCTTAACTAACTTTACTTAATCTAACACAACTTAACCTATTCTAATATGAGCTAACCTAGTCTAATTTAAATCAACATAAGCTAACCTAATCTAATTTAAATCAACATAAGCTAACCTAAACTAACCTAATCTAACATAACCTAAAACCTATTCTATCATAACCATACCTAATCTACAGGTAATATAACCCAACTTATTCTAACCTAACCCAACCCCCACAATTATCTTCAGCGTATTTAATCATGAGCTGAAATAAACAGAGGGGGGGGGTTGTAGGGGCATGAGATATTGGTTCACACTCAGGATGGGATGGAGAAAGGAAACTCACAATGTGCTCACTGTATACATATTGTATTGGATGTACAATGCAGCTTGTTGCTGGGTAGGTAGCATGGTAATAAGCGTTGAGTAGAGAGAGCTGGGTGGTGAGGGTGCCCGGAGTGAGGGCACGCGGCTTGAGGGACGCCAAGGTCGCTGGCGGGAGCGGCAGCCACAAGGCTGATGCGGAGGAGGAGGTGTTGCTTGCTGGTGGCACTGGGTAGAAAGAGACTGGTCACAGCGGTGTCAGGCCTTATAAGGCGGGGGTAGGCGTGGGTAGATAGTTGACCCCCGCTCCGTGGGTGGCGCTGGAGGCGTAGGCTGGGGAATTCGAGAAGGTTCGGTGCTTGGAGGGGAGGAATCCACTACAGGGTGTCCAATTTTCAGCACAACACATACATACTTCAGTTAACAAATCATCATACATTTCTTTTTTCTAATTTTCCTTGCAGAATACACACCAACAACTCCTGTAACTACGAAGCGAAAATCATGGAAAAGTTGTCACCTGCCACCCGGTATAACTACACCCTTAACACACAGATACCCGACTGTGTTGAAGAGATTAACAGGAAGTCAGTAGAAGGGTCAGGGTCAAGCAGCACTCCTTCCATGTCAGATGAAAATGAGTCGTACAATGGGACAGAGACGCCCGGAGTTGGAGACAATCCTGCCAGTATCTGTTATGACAAGTGTGGCGTATGCGGCCAGGGGACACCGATCATCACTCCTCCTAACAGTAAAGTGAACCTCAAGCCTTTGTACAATGCCCAATTGCCCATCTCACCCTTGTCCCTTTATTATTATTTTTTTATTTAACATTACTGTTCATTAGTTTAATATTGTTATTATTATTATTATTATTTTCTATTTGCTACTTCTTAATTATTACGATTATCATTGTCGTTTCCTTTATATAAATACTGTAATTTCTTTCTTCACCGCAAGTTAATATTATTATCTTGTTGCTCTGTCTCACACAAATACTGTAGGTCTCGTTTTGATAATTCGAACCTAACCTAACCAACTTAACCCAACCAATCCCACTTAACTTACCAGATCTAACTAATTAGCCTAACCAAACCTAACAAACTAAGCAAACCAAACCTATAAATTAACTAATCTAAGTAACTTAACTAACTAGTCTAATAAACCTAATTTAACTCACCTAATTAACCAACCAAACTTTAACTAACCAAAATCTAACTAATCAAACTAAACTAAACTAACCTAACCAAACCAAACGTAACTAATCTAATCTACTTGGTGCCTCAATCAGACGAGTCCATACCTCAGAATTTAATGAAAGAGGGGCCAACCTTAGCCGATGCAGACCCCAGTTCTCGCATGGTGAAACTGACCTGGAATGACCCTGTGCATGCCGGGGTAATGGACGAGTTTGTCTTGAAACTAATCCACAAAGAAAATGTTACGAAGGAATGCTATAGTAAGTATGTACAGTGAATCCTTTACCCATCCCCATCTCATTTTGTCCGGACTTAACCCTCTCTCTACAGACAATGAAGGTATACAGTTCAGCATGTATACAGACAAAGCATGTACAGTATATACATTATACATAGACCATACAGGTAAACAAACAATGGTGAACAGTAAGGCATTTGACCAAGGTTTGTTTCCAGTCAGGTTCCTTTGTGTACAGTACTATAGATGTGAGGTCAGGATGTAAGTGAATATTGTTATTATGTGTTGCATTTCTCTTGTTATCTTAGTCCATTCCTCTTATTGCTACATTTATTATGCACTGTTCTTCTCTCATCATACCTTCCTATCTCTCTTCTTCTCATATTATACCTTCCTATCTCCCTTCTTCCCCTCTTTATCAGCCCTTCCTACTTCCCTTCTTCCCCTCTTTATCAGCCCTTCCTATCTCCCTTCTTCCCCTCTTTATCAGCTCTTCCTACCTTCCCCTCTTTATCAACCCTTCCTATCATCCTTCCGAAAAAATCCCACCACTTACGAACCTTTGTGAATCGAGTATAATTATCATGTCACAAGAGTCCTATAGCTACCCCATAGAAGTCCTTATTTCATTCGTCAATTTTAAGACTAAACAAGAAAGACAGGTGTACTAAGTGATCTCTATTTACTTCCAGTTAGTAATAATGGCACGAACGATTGTGGCTGTCAACGGCACTCCTGTAGTCTTCCGGTGAGAGCCAGGACAACATACACGTGAGTACAACTTAAGAATGATACGTAATGTTTGTGTATTGATTTGATCTGATATGCCACGTTTACGTACTGTATGTTCGTGATTATTATTTATCTTTTATTTATATATTAATATTCTAATTATGTCATCCACAGAATAAATGTCGAAGCCTTGAATAAGGATTTAAGATTGAGAAGCAAGCCAGCAATAGATATTCTGCATGTGCAAATTGGAAGTAGGTGTTGAAGCAGTTTTCTCTTTCTCTCTCTTTAACTCACAATCACTTAATCTCTTGAGTATAATATGTTTAACCTTTTGAATACAATGAATTAATTCCTTGACTACAACATCTTTAATCCCTTGAATACAATATCGTTAACCCTTCAATATGACTTAATGAAGTGGGTTAAAAATTATCATTGTATTCACAGCTGTTCATTTTCCATATCTACGAAAAAGTAAAAATATATAATTAATCTATCTTTAGCGTTCCTCTCCTTTCTTCTTTACTTTCAGCGCCTTTCTTCACGGGCCCACCAATGTTTGAGTTTAAGAATGGCGACGAGTTTGATCTCCACAAAGAATATCCCATCTTGATAGACAGTAATACCTTCAGCAATGACAACGGCGAAGTTGCGTAGGTATCGAGAGAGAGAGGAGAGAGACCACTTCCAAAAAGAACACAAAAATCCAAATATCCGCCAAAGTTAAAAACTGTGTCAAAACTAACAATCCCTTTCTATAATAATGAATATTTGTCTGGTCTCTTGTATTAACTGGCCACATCAGCAACACCTAAATTGAAATCGTAACAATGGCCACAGTTACCTCCATCTAACGGACAACGATCTCCTAAATAGTCCTCCATTTAACGGACTACTGCATTTGGTAGATCACAGGCCATTTGATGTGAAACTTTCATTCAACTGACTATTTAGGAGATCGTAGCTTAAATAGTGCATTAAATGGAGTTTTCACACTGAGCCACTATAACCTACATCTACAGTACTGTATATATTCTTCCGTCTAACTAAATATATAATATATAACCCTGGGATCTCCTGAAGAATAGACACCCCAGCTTATTTCACGTGATGATTAAATACCCTAACAGCTAACCTAATCTATTCACGACTAAACAGACCCTAACCTAAGATAATCTAACAATATAAACTAACAGAATCTAAGCCAACCTAATCTAGCCTAACCTAGCCAAGTCTAACCTAACCTAACCTACTGTAAGCCAACCTAACCTAGTCAAGCTTAACCAAACCAATAACCTACCCAAATCTAAACTAACCTAATCAAAACCAATCTACCCTAGCCAAGCTTAACCAAATCTAATGCTAACCTAAACCCTCCAGGTGGTATTAGGGTACAGTACAGTACAGTACTTAGATCATCATGTGAAATAAGCTCTTTTGGGGTCAGGGGATGTATCTATGCTATTCTGGTGATCACGACCTGTAATGTCAGCTTACCATGGGTTCGATTACCTTACATGGAGGATTACAATTAACTATACCCATATTAAACAGATTTTAGGTGATTGGAGTGTAATGCCCACGTGTCTCTTACTCGACAGTGGATACAAGATATTTGTGGAGAAAGGACATGGTCAAAGGAATACCTACAGGTGGATGGTTTGCCACAATCTCATCAAGGATTTTAAAAAGTTGCTTATCATCGGTAAGTTTTGATGTTGTAATTATCACTCATCGGTGGTTGTTTACACAGCCACTGTCTAATATAATGTGAAACCTATATCTTTTAATGGATTATATGGAATGGGGGGGGGTAGTCCATTATATCATGGTCTATTAGATGTGACGCCACCTACTAATGAACTACGACTGTGGTATCACTGTATGAGGAAACAAGTGGTTGGCTGTAAAAATTGGATAGGTCCTTCACAACACCAGAGTAACCCTGAAGACACCATAACTTTGGACATATCACTTAACTTAACCTAATCTACTGTAAGGTAACACAATCTAACATACTTAAATTTAACCTAACTTCACTTCAAATTTCCTAAACTAACAGAATCTAAAAATAACATAATCTCAACCTAACCAAACATAACCTAAGCTAACCCAACCTAATGTACCCTAAGCTAACTCAACCTAATGCACCCTAAGCTAACCTAACTTTATTTAACCTGGCCTAATTCTCTCCCCAGGTAGCCTTTGGATGTTTAATCTAATCAATTCATCAGATGAAATGAACTAGGGTTGCCTAATCTTCATGTGAACTACAACACTTTATTTAGAAAAACTAACAGAATACTGCCCTCCTTCCTTTGCTATGCCCATCTCTAAATAGAGGTGGTTTCTACAGAAGAACTCCACCATACTGCACTACAAAAAAGACTAAGTGCCCACCTTACTGCACTACAAAAGAAGATTAAAAGCAAACCCAAAGTTGTTTTAATGATATCTATTGCAGGTGTTGGCTCACCACAGGACACTTGCTCAAAAGACAAGATCTGCAACCCACCACTCACCCCTTCTATCAACTACACTGTAACCTTGAGCATTTACACCAACAAGGCTTCCCAAAACTTCAGCCTGTTTTTCACCACCGCTGGCAAGTAGATTTATTCCTGAAACTTATCTCCCTCAGTTATAGTACGTGTATATTTATATTTCAGTTGTTTACTTTTTATATTTATTCTGAGGATTTCAATTATTTGTCTATACCAACCACTTAACACCTTATCACTGGTCACTTGCATGGGATTAGTGGTCACTCACTGGGTGTTAATGGTCGCTCACATGGTGTTAATGGTTACTCACAGTGGTTACTGGTCACTCACAGGGGGATTGCTGGTCACTCACAGGGGATTACTGGTCACTGACAGAGATAGCGTTACTGTCTCTTACTCAGGAAATGTTACAACCGCTCAAAACTGGTAACTGGAATCACACTCACAAGGGTACCGCACTAAGGATAAAACTCACAAGGGGTTAATTTATTCTTGTTCTCTCACAGCTCAACCAGTGAATTGGCTGACAGTCGTGTTCTCATTGATTCTGGCTGTATTGCTAGTGGTAGTGTTGTCAGCTGTGTCCTACTACTGGCAGCGGTTTCTTCCCATGTAAGTCCGTCTTTATCATCATAATCATTGTTAGAACTATCTTTATAACTACTATTACTATTCTTTCCATTACTATTACCAGTGTGGTTATTATTACTATTATTATTATTATTATTATCATTATTCTCATCTTGTGTTTCCAGGAAGCGTAGTGAATCCCTGGATATTCCAATGGTGGAGTCCCTGCCTCCAGACGTCAGCATGGAGCATAGGATAACTCTCTCACAGCTAGCCAACACCGTCCACAAGCTCCTATCCAACTGTGAGTCTTTCTATGATGATGGGGGTGGGGGGAGGTAAAGGATTGGCCAAAAGGGATAGACCCCGGGGACTTAAGGATAAGATATATCATGGAGGTTAAGGTCAGATGTTACCGGGGTTGTGAAGGTGAAGCTAAGTGTGTGTATGTGTGGTGTTACAGGTCAGATGGAACTCAAGAGGGAGTATGCCTTACTCAAGTCAGTTTCGCCATCAAAGCCTTGTGAGTATGCCAATCTGCCCTCAAACAAAGTCAAGAACCGCTACATCAACATTCTACCATGTAAGTACAACTTTGTATGTATGTATTCATTAAAAAACTACTACCATACCTATAAATATAATAAAGTACAGCCATGATTCACCAGGAACCATAAGAGTAAAAAAAGAATGATGGCGATATCATGAGACCGTATTTAAACAAAGCAACACAACATTCACACATTTAACCCTCCATAAACTCACATGATTGCTTATAATCGGCAAATAGTCGGTGTAATTAATGGTAATTAATTCTATAATGTAGACTGGCAAACAAGTATATTACCATAGCGCCCAAATTTAAGCTTAAAATGACGAGAGTCGAGCGTGATGGGTCAACTTGCGATAATTCTAAGCTTATGTTTCCTCTACAGTTGACGAATCGAGAGTAGCCTTGAAGGAGTACCGTTCCATCCCCTGTAGCGACTACATCAATGCTTCATATATACATGCAAGTACTCACTGGTGCCTCGACTATAATTTCATGCACATATATTGTACATCTTCTCAAGTATGCACACACACTCTTTAAAAGTATCTTTATGGAAGGGTCCAATGAATTTAAAAAAATGAACACTGTGACTCCTGTTGTCTCAGTAGGGTTGTCAGTGCTACGGAATAAGTACCAATGTGTGCCGATACTCATCCCCTTCCTTCCCCCTCCTCTCCCCTGCAGGGTTACAACAAGTCCAGGGAGTTCATCGCTTGCCAAGGTCCTACAGATGATACAATTGAGGACTTCTGGAGGATGGTGTGGGAGAAGAACGTTCACATCATTGTCATGGTCACACAGTGCGTGGAGAAGAACACGGTACGTATGGTGTGGGTAATGGAGGGGTTGTATGGTGTGGGCGATGGGGGTTGTATGGTGTGGATGATGGGGGTTGTATGGTGTGGGTAATGGAGGGGTTGTATGGTGTGTGTGATGGGGGTTGTATGGTGTGTGTGTGTGTGATGGAGGGGTGTATGGTGTGTGTGTGTGTGTGATGGGGGTTGTATGGTGTGTGTGTGTGTGTGTGATGGGGGGAGTGTATGGTGAGGGTGAGGGAAGTAGAAGAGACAGACCTCACTTAACCTTACAAAAGCATAAACTTGTACATTGACCAGCTTGTAAACCAGTAAGATACCAGTAAAATAATGAATTTCCCAAACTAAGAAAATGGACTAAATTCACATTTGTAGGAACCCAAATTTGTATCACCCTTGACAACTCAACCAAGTGCACACACACACACACACACACACACACACACACATATATATCAATGAACGGGCCTAATTAATAACGAATAGCTTGCTCTGAAGACTACTCATATACAATATTTTAAGCATTAAATTACAGCATATTTTACTTGTAGCTTTCACCTCTTATCAGCTTACTAGCTGTTTAAGCGGTTGATCTATCCAGTGTTAGTACAGGAGAAAACCAGAGACCAGGAAACCCTTGATGTTTGGTAGTGAGGGTCATACTGGGTAATACCCCTTTCACGTGGAAAAGCCACTTTTAGTATTCCATTTAGCTAACTCCAGGTCCATTTTATTCAGCTCAGGGGGGAGCCTGTACACAAGGGGTTATGAATAGACATTACATAAATAAGATGTTCTTCAGCCATAATACTGTACATTTCTCTTCCACCAGAGGAAATGTGCTAAATACTGGCCAGACAAGGAGGAGGAGAAGGGGCTGGTACTGAGGCAAGCCATGCTGAGAGTGACGATGCTCCACCAGGCCTCAAACCAGGGGGAAGGTTACATCATTCGTAAATTCAAACTCTCCAGGATACCGGTAATAAAATTATCTGTTCGCATCTTTCTCTTTTAACTTAACGATTTATCTGAGTGTAAATCCAGTACAACATTCCCATGGTAATCAAAGTATCCATTATTCAAATGTATGTTCTGGGCTGTTACTATTGAACTAGGGGTCCAACTCTTAGATTACTTTTGCTAATGGTGGAAACAAACTAACCAGGACTAACTTAACTTCTCCTAACAATCTTTGATTAACTTTGGTTTATATTCTATATCACATGCTGTGGTTCACTGCACATAGACACTGACCAGACCAAATTCCTGTGTGACAGAAGTTTAATTTGCTTGCAGGTTATGGCATACTCAATTATCAAGCAGAAATTATTTGAGAACCTGCTGCCCTGGGTTTGTGGACACATTCTACTTCTGTTTTAACTTTCCAGGACCTGTATATTATACTGTACAGTATGCAGACGTTTACGAGACTATTTGTAACATACACAAGGTAGTAGACAATGGACCCCAGTTCTAATATATTGTAGTCTTCAACCTATTATGATTGGATAGTTATAACAGGATTTGATTCTTACCCATTTTAAAAGTTAGTTTAGATTAAGCTGGGCCACATTAGGACAGGGTTTATCATATTAAGACTAAGGCATCTCAGACAAAACCGAGGGGAGCGGTAACAGGACTGACGGCTACTAGGATAGAGGCCTGTTAGTGCTAAGGCCCATTTAATTTACTTCCCAAGCATTCATCTTACCCATGACTTTGCAGAATTATAGTTCGAGGATTGTCCAGCACTTCCACTTCGTGTCGTGGCCAGACATGGGCTGCCCGGATACCCCCAACCACTTGATCAACCTGGTGGAGGCAGTGAGGAAAGCTGTCCCTTCCTCCAGTTCCCATGTACTTGTCCACTGCAGGTAAGTCCTCACTAGCCATCTTCTCTCTTACCATTTTGTCTCCCATCCCGGTCTCTTCTTGTTTTCTTTATCACAGATTGATTAATTGATTTCAATTCATTACAAGTAAAATAAAATACAGTATGGATATGATCAACAATTACAAATAAACACTTTATCATATAACACATAATAATCGAACTCCGAGGATTACACGAAAAGTTTGAAGATTTATTTCAACTGTGGTCCTTAAAAACAACAACTAAATACTGTACCAATAACCCTAAACTTTAACCTGACCTCCGTAAATGGACCTTACTTTTGACAACTAGATCTTACGAAAGTACAACCAAACCTTACAGAGCCATTAGACCATACAAAGCCTCAACCAGACCATACCGATTTACGACCAAACCTTACAGAGCCTCAACCAGACCATACAGATCTACGACTAAACCTTACAAAGACTCAACCAGACCATACAGAACTACGACCAAACCTTACAGAGCCTCAACCAGATCATACAGATCTACGACTAAACCTTACAGAGCCATTTCCCAACTTCATTAACCATTCACTCACTCACAACCCCAGCGCTGGTGTGGGTCGAACTGGAACTTTCATTGGCCTGAACAACATGATAGACGAGATAGCTGAAGAAGATAGTGTAGACGTCTTCCACACTGTGTACAAGATGCGCATGCACCGTACAAACATGGTCCAGACTGAGGTAAGACCCCTATTAAAAGTCTTTTATTTGGTTCACACTGAAAATTGGGTTTTGTTGGATCCTTGGGAGGAGAGAGAGGGGGGAGGTCATATCTAAGCTGGGTTGATGGTTTTAAATACATTGTCAGTTATAAATACTGTACACCATTGTTTACTATAAATATATACAGCGCATTACATTGAAGAAAAGGAACATGGATATACCTGTGATTCACTTTTTAATCAGTTTTTGTAAGGAATCATTTGGGTTAATATATTAGTATGTATCAGCTCCATTATTTTCCCTTCACTTCAGGCTCAGTATGCTTTCCTCTACAAATGTGTCCTCAAGTACTACAACAACAAAATAGGTGAGTCTTGAAATACTGTATACTACCTCAATAGCTTACTCATAACTGACTCAACAAAACACACAACCAGTTTAATTAAAATGAATCTAAAAATACTGTATATTCTTTTTAAACTCAATGAAAGTAGTAAAACAAGGAGAAGTTGCTGTAGATTGATCTTTCAAGTTTCATAATTTTTGGTTTGTTTTTGTTTTAGGAGAAACTGAAACTGAAATATTTGAAAGGAACAGGAATCAACCAAGGGATATCCCAGACGTGATTACCAATACCCCAGAAGCCAGAAATTCTTCCCCAGAGACCGAGAGTGACGACACTAGTAGTAAGACCTCGACACATGACAGCGCTGGTGTAATAGGCATAATACCCCTTTATTCTCAACTTAGTGAGACGGAATACATTGAGGACAAGGATCTAGAGCCACATTCAGATCTAGACGACGAAGAAGACAAACAACTGATTAAAGAGAGCCCTGAACCTGAAGACAAATCCAGTGAGCACTGACACCAATAACATGAAACTCAGTGGAAAGGTAACATCACAGGGAGCCATTTTTGATCCTATTACCTTTGTTGATAAAACAAAACAAGGGGGGGTGAGCTTAATACTGAGAAGGATTCACAGTAACTTTTACTTTTATCCTCTTCGCCACTGACAGGCCTGTTAGCCACTTGGGCAGTCGGTCACATCACTCTTACACACTGTTGGCAGATACTGGGCATGAACTGGCTCCTGAATCTATCGGAACCTGCTCCAGTGTTGGTCAAGTTTGGCCTTGTTTGGGCTCACACTCGGTGCGGCCACAACACTCTGGCAGATTGTTCCAAGAGTTCACAATTCTCACTCCGAAAAAGACACAAGACACAAAGTATCTTTTGTTATGGCCATTGTTTACTCTTCCAAACCTTGAATGTCTCTACAGTGTACAGGTACGTTAACACTGATACAGTACTGTATACAGTAATGGCCTTTTTTGTAGTATTGTTGAACACTGGTCAAATGCACAATAGTGTTATAACTAACAGCTGAAATTATGTTGCCAAGAGCACTAAAAAACACACACAAAAAAGCCCTAAACAGCAACAAATGCATTTTTGTAAAGCCTGTGTCAACTTCCCATTTGTATGTACAGGGTATTCACATATTATAAACTTGAGTTTTAATTAACAAATTAACAGCACTGTACATACAACATGGCTGAACTTCCAGGGTGAAACTATGGGAAAGTTTCTTTATGCCATTTGCCTCTGTTTACCCAGCAGTAATTGGGAACCTGGATGTTAATCAGTTTACAGAACGTGTTCCAGGGTAATGGTTAGCCAGTGCACTTGGCTAATTGTCCAGTATTCCCAGATTCTTCCTTGACACTGGGTCATGCAGTTCGTTAACTCAGGGTGTGGTTGTAGTGTTGGCAACACCTTCTACACCTTAAACAAATTCACACCTAAGTGGCCCAAGGGCCGGCAATCCTCGTACATGAGGGGCAACCATTTTATATCCACATTTCTTCTTGCAGGTCTTTAAGAATGTAAATACTGTATATATCTAGTATATTTGTATCATAACATGCACTGCACTTAAACCATTCACCACATCCTACAAGACTTTTCTAAAGTTTTGAATATTAAAAACACACAAGAAAAATTCTTCTTAACTGATAATTAATTGTTCCATAGGTCAGAATCACTCTGGACTCTCAACAAATGTCTGGATTGAGTTAACCTTCGTCTTAGGGATAGTAATTGATGGTGCAGTAAATGGCATAATATTTTTTAATAATTTTTAGTGTGTTGATTAACTTGTCTGTACACTATATTGTGAACTTTAACCTTTTATAGTACTGTATGTGCTTATTTTTTTATATAGAAATGTACATTAATATGAAATCTAAGTACAGTACTGTATAGTATTTAAATTCCAGTGATCTCTACCTTTACAATACTGTACTATGTATGTACAGCATTATAGAAATCTTATGAATCTATTGGACAAAGATCAGGAGTAGGAAGGGTTGAGCTTGACCCTAAAAATCAAATAAAATGAATTCCACAACAGGTTCCAAGAGTAAGTAGATAATGGTTTCACAATCTTGCCTTTACTATGCTAAGATCTGGGATCACATGCTAAAAGCATATGAAATTCTGTTTTTAACTTGTTTCCTATAATATTATAATTTTATATGTTACTGAGTAGTTTATAAATATTGTCAGGAAAGTGACATACTGTATTGCCCTGACAATGAACCGTATCAGGAAGGGGAACTATCACTCTTATTATGGTCATATTAATATCATCCTCTTCATCAGTGAGATAAAGAGTTTTGTATGTACACTGTATAGCAACATGACTAAAACAACCTTTCTTGTACATTGCTTGTATACATGTACTGTATATAAACATGCTGAACCAACAAGAACTGTTAAAGCTATTTTACATTACAGGTACCAAGTAAATATTTATCTCTATCTACTGAAGGGTATGTATACTGTATATGCATAACCTAGGTTTACGAGCTACATTTAAGAAACCTGATACACATAATATACTAATTAGTCAACTGCATGGCTCCATCCTTTCTTGTCATACAAAAGCTCAATGAACTAGAGCCCCGCCATCACCTCACACTGCCCCCCCCCCCCAAAAAAAAAGAAGTCCACTTACCAAGTTTCACTAAAATCCATTTCTATTAATTCAATCTATCGTGTTCATAAATTCCTGAACAGATGGACACAGTAGTATGTCTATGTCCCCTGCTGTTCACCTCTGGCATGGTGGGGGCAGTACTGTACTGTAAAAGAATAAAATAAGTCATAATGTTATCATCTGAATCCTATTTTAAGCATTTTTTTTATATATACATTAGGTTAAACATTTTTATTTTATGTTTACAGAATTTTATTTTCCAAGTCTAACGGGATCTGATTAGAAATAAAAATGGAAACAATCTGTGGTGAATCTATAAATTTGACATGAAATCTATTTTATTGTAGGTGTTTTATGATAGTACTGCCTGCCATATAAAATTGATAATTTCTGTTATCAAATGTAGACTATTAGATTAACACATTGAAACATTAATTTCATTAATGTACAGTACATGTACTGTAAATATTTAATAAATATTCATTAAAATGATAACTAAAAAAAGGGAAAGAACGTCCCATGATGTAAAACATCAGTATTACGACAATAAATTATCCCGACAAAATTTAAAAAATCTTAAATTTCTTTAAATTTAATTTCAATTGGATTCCTTTTAAAATATTTTATAACCTGTACTTAAAATTTAAGAAGTATTTGCTGACCATTCTTAAAAAGTTTCTCTACAACCACAGCCGCACACTTTCACCAGAGTCTCTATACAGTAGTAGATATTTAATAATGAAGTATTTAAATATCAACCTACAGTACTATTGTGCACTTTTTGCTTCAATAGATGCTTACCTGAAGTTGGTTTGATAATACCATCAACACTTTAAACATAAACCATCCTAACTACCGTAAAAAAAATAATAATACAAATAAATAAATCAATACATTACCAATATACCTTTTTCTTCTTATTTTCAGAAATTTGTCAGCGGGGGTCATAAAACATAAAATAAAAAATGTCTGGCCTTAGTTAAAACCTTGATTAGTTATAACACCCAATTTATATGCAGATTACATAAAGATACAACTTTTATATGTGGTGATAATATACATGTTGACAAGTACAGTACGTAACTGGAAATAACTTACCAGACAGTGAGGAAAATCACCAAGGTTTGATGATGTTCCTTCTTCAGACAACCTTACAAAGTGATGTTTTACCTGACAGGTGGAAGGACTGCATTGTACAATTAAAGGATCAACTTCTTGAATACTATTGGATTAGTCACCTGTATTGTGTAAGTGTATCAGCTAATTGAATAAGTTGATAAATTATTGTATGTTTTTGCTATGAAGATGATTTTTTATTTTTTTGTAATCATGTGTAAGTAATGAGTTCCACAATGTTCTGTAAATACATCGGTAATATTATATAAATGCTTCTATATGTGTATCATGTTACAGGATCACTGAGTGCTACACACATACAGTATATCCCAGCATTATGTTCGTCTTGTTTTATTATTTCATTTATTTATACTCGTACTTCAAAACCAACCACATTAGATGGATACTAGACATGCTATACCAAGTCAACTTGTCTATGGCCAGCTAATTCTGGTGTCCCTGGGATATGTGAATGGATGAATTCCTTGTATAATGTGGATAAAATAATTCCATACATGTGAATGAATGTATCAAAGAGAAATAATGTATATATCCTTGCATTTAGCAGGCTGACTAGTTATTGTGTCATATACCTTGAGATAATCAACCTTAGTGTTCATGTAAGGGTGACTGATCAAATGACCTGTTCCAATAGGTTCCAATCTCACCAATGGGACTGAGGGTCTACGGCTAATGATAAAATTTACCTGTTATATATATTAAAAGTTGATACATCACTTATAAAATGATAATGTATAACTCTAGAACAGTGGGTCTATTTATCCATTACCCTTACTTCTTTTCCACTTGCATAAGTTGAGTCCGTTATAACACAATCCTTGAGAAAAAAAGGGGAAGTGATAGTAGTAACTGTCTTCCATTTAACCCCTTCACTAATAGCAGATGATTTTATTCAGCTCAGAGATGACCTCAGACACAAGGGGTAAGGGTGAAACAGTTTTCTGCAATCAGTGTTCTCACTCATTTTATGCAAATAGACAAGTTAAAGGTTTCTTGAAGGGGGATCAGTTGCTCCTATATAGGGCATCATTTCTTTATACCGTGTAAAACAATATTAATAGTAATGATATTACTGCTGGTGCAAGAACCACAAACAGCCTAAGAGCTGACGCTTAACTGTGAGGGGCTGTGTTCATAATTATTTGCCAGCAGGTTGGCTATGATTCTAGCAACAGTGGCCGAAAGTACAGTACATTACATGTGGGTAGATCTATTACACTGTGCATAAAGTGTGCTGTCAACAATCATTTGTTCTGAGTTAATAACAAAATAAAGGATACTGGCAAAGGGTGGCCAGCATCCAGAACAACTCTCTCCTTTAAGCATTTACTCAAGGTATTGTAAACTTGTAACACATGTTCTCATATTGTGTTCTTTCCCATAACTGCATCAAACAGAATATGTCGAGAAACTGTGTTCTCTTTCTAATGAAATAAATCATAGGTTGGTAGTACTATCCACAAACCTCGTTTCATTTAATAATTAAAATGGTTACCGGTACCCGTTTCTTTTTCAGTAAAATTATGAGGTCATGGAGAAAATATTTCTTACAACAGCTACCATACACTATAAAACCACTGTAGCTCGTTAAATAAGGAAATGAGCAAGTATGTGTGGGTAATTCTGTTTATTGTCTTACCATTTTCCTGATACTTTTTTTGCACAACACTCCTGTTCCTGTACTCCTTGGACCATTCTACTCAAAAATGAGAGAACAATAATGATTATTATATTTTCTTTTGCAGGATAAAACTTTGTGTAAAAAATTAATAATATGGGTACATTAGCAACTCAAGAGAAAAATAAGTACAGTACAGTATTGCTGCAAAAAATGTCTATCTACTTACTTAATTTTAACCGATTTAATTGAGCATACTGAACAAAGGAGTCGGGCCTCTCCATACACCTTCATTAAATTGCTTAAATCTAACCAATGATTTTCTCCAATAAACTTTACTATCAATATTAATTTTCTTCACAAGAATTAATCGTGTAAGAGACAATGCAGATAATTCTTTTATACTGTAACTATACTGTACAAAGTAATTCCGATATATTCATGTTAAAGTCTTTATCCTTTACACAGTGATAAGTCATTGTATGTCTTAAACTATCATACTTACAACAGTACTGATCAACATTATTTATGAATCAAGATATATTTGGGATACAAAATACTGTACTATTGTTTCAATAGTAATAATACTCTTTATGAAGTGGCACTTTTCACTCAATTTATTTGTTATAAACTTAAATGCATACTACCAGTATAGATACTGTACTATATATATACTGTACTGTATATTAATATATATGCACATAAAATTAGACAAGTTTTAGCAGGTATAAATTATGTCCATTTTAGAATATAAATCAGTTTATCACAGAGCTTTGTGTTTGACAATTTTAATAACAAATTTCAATATAAAGAATAATGTAATTACTAAGGCTGCACATTAAATGGACTCTAGTTCCAACAGGGCACAGTCCTAATAGACCTGAATTAACCATATGGATTTGCCCTATTAGGACTGGAACCACTAAGTCTGGGTTCTAATCCTACTGGTTAGGTTGGGTTACGTCAGGGCCAATTAGGACTGGTGTCTATCTGACCAGTCACCAATTCTAAGACTACAATTATAAAAATATAAAGTACAGATATTCCTCTTCTCCCACCAATGGTTCATTTGACTGGCCACATCACAGTTCACTGCCACCTTCAAGCCATATAATGTAAAGGGGCTAATCCGGGACTTACAATTGGTGGCAATTCCTAAAAACTCAACAAATCTCACTAATACACATCTATAAGGGTCTGGCTAACACGTAATAACACCAGTCTTTTATTCCAATAACTTTGTGTTTATCAATGGCTGCATTGCATAAAAGAAAGTGAGGTGATACCTTGTTTCAACATGGGTCAGTGTTCCCCACATGCTGGAAATACCAAATGCAAGAATGGGTGGCTGGATTTGCTTCAGAGCTGCATTATTCTTATCAACACTGTATTGCACATCTGAGTGATCTGAATCTGGCATGGACAGTTGTTTGTTCATTCCAATCAAATCATTGGGTTTGTGTGTGTGTGGTTTTTTTTTATGGTCCAATTGATTCATATAAATTTTGGCCTCTATTAAATCTACTCAAGGAAGATGCATGTTCAAGCCAGACAGCACCCTTTTCAAAGTACTACTGTAAAGAACTTTGGGGTTAACAAACTTAACTTCTCTAGGGGATGCTATGGTAAATATATATACAGGGTGTACTGTAATTTCAAGTTGTGCTGTAGATAGAGACAGCATAAAGACTCCTATTGACACTTTGAACCGAGGCTTTGGAAACACAAGCCCATATTTCCTACAATAAGTAAACTATCAGAGTTTCCTATGTTTTACCCCTTCTGTCTTAATATTTATCCATTTATCTACAAATCTTCTACTGTTCTCTGTGTTTACTTGTATAACAAACCACCACTTTTTTCACACAATATTATTCCTAAAATGTACGCAAATGAGCAATACTTTTTGTAAATAATAGCCAAATCAACACAAATTACTTCTATTTGGTTTTAAAGAAGGGATAAAGTTATTTCCCTGAATATTCAATAAAATTATAATACAGTGCTTATTTATGCCCATGGATCCTTTTTTTTCACCACAATTGCTCAACAAAATATACACGATTAATTTTTTCTTTGGGTTTGTATAATATTTTACAAATCATCAGGCACAAATGAAAATCATCTTTCGCTACGAGGATACCGCCTTTGATATTTTTTTGAGCTAATGTCAGATGATTTTATTCAGCTCAGAGGCAGCCCCATACACAGGGGTTAATCTACTAGTTCAGTCAAGCACACAGGTTTTTATAACACTCAGCAGCTCCCTTTTCTAACACTGCAGTGGAGTCACTGGAGATCAGAATGCAAATTGCTGGGTCATTTTTGAAGAATCTGCAGAAGCTTCAGCAAATTCTTTGAAGGTAAGCTTGATTGTAATGATATATACTGTATATACACAGTACCGCATCTGTGTCAGTTAATGAGTGATTATTAACTGACGCACAAGTAATCCAAGTAACCTTCCCTAACATATTATACAATACAGTACCGTACTGTATTTGAGGCCAATAGTATGTCTTACTGGCAATTTCTTGAGAATCAGACCTCTATCACAAAAACTTCCAATGTTTGAAAAGGTACATCAACATTTCACTGTCTGCCACACTCAGCATCAGCAAGACAAAAAACATAAACACTTGCATCACAGGATCATTCGTTTACATCAATGTGATATTTCCTGACATACGTGGACCATTTATGGTACTGCACTTACTTCACTATGTGGTTACATCAGTAACCCCAGCATTCTCCAGTTCCATCAGGACACTGTCTAGATAAAACTCATCAGGATAGCCATGACCACTAACATTGGACAAGCAGTTTGTCTTGTGGTGAATGTCATTCCATGTGATCACATTGTGCAAACCAGTAGTCATGGATGTACCAACCGTGAAGATGAGACGCCGTCGCCATGCCTCTTGTAAGAACTTCAACACCTGCATTAGAGCCATGAGGTTTACAATTAGTATACTGTACTGTACAGCAATCCAAACATCAAAATACATATCAGCTGCTAATTCAACAAATTTTCAAGTCAGAATTCATTAAAATATTCCTAAAACAAATTGTCATTTCTATATATATACAGTATATATATATATATATATATGTGCGCAGTACTAGGCATCAATCTGAAGAATTTCAAGATTGTAGAAATTTAAAGATTCCTGATATATCACCTAATAACAAAACACACGAGCAGGCTAACTAATAGCACGAGTATCTACATGGAAGTAGGCGAGGATTAATACAGAATGAAAATCAAGGTGGAAGCATCGTTGAGATGTATTATTGTGACAGCATATGTAAACAAATTAGAAAATCAACCCTGCATTAATTACTTTATTCCATAAATTGACATGACAAATGGTGAAGACCGCTGCAATAATCAATCCTCGCCAATATAAAGTCACATACAATTAACAAATAACATATCAGATTTTATGAAATTTGAGGCTTGGCTGAATTGATTTTACTGATGCATAAACACAAGCTTGGGGGCACCACACACTTAAGACCAGTTGTGGAGATCCCTGAGCAAGTCAAACTTCATGGTAAAAATATGAACTCCACCAAATATGGCCTATGTTAGCCTTGACATAACAAAGTGGACATCTCACATAGCAAGATACTCGTAAAAGCATGCATCTGATTATACAGGGGATCCCCGGGATACGAATGGGTTCCGTTCCTGAGGACATTCTTAAGTCAGAAATGTAAGTAAGTTGGAGCACAAGCTATGTGAATACCGTACAGTACTTACAGAAGAATGTTTAAAATCCCACTACTTTATATAACAGTCGAAGTCCTTATATACATCTAAAACCACTTAATTTAAGATAAAAGAAGAAATAGAATGACAAAACACAATAAATGAAAGTAAAAATTAAGTCATCAGGTAAATAAAATACAGGTATTGTAAATTTTAAGTTTAACCCCGACTGTATCAGTGAGCGTTTGTAAGTCAGGGACCCCCTGGACCCCCTGTATTGTAAATAATGAACTCTATAATCTTATTAAGCGTCAACACTCTGTCTATAACACAGGCTATACACATACAGACTCAACTATAGTATAAAGAACAGTATATATCTACCTTGTTTCCTTTATAACTAACTATAGTATAAAGTACAGTATATATCTACCTTGTTTCCTTTATATCTACCTTGTTTCCTTTATAACTATCGGGAAGAAAAGCAATACGGGGGAAACCAAAAGCTGTGTACATCTCTCCTGGATTTGGGTGCTCTGGTCCTTGTGTACCATTCTGAAAACTGAATAACATGGACTTTTACTTTGTGGTGTGTTGATTTTTCTGAGAATAGAAAATCAAAGGATTTCATGAATTTTGTTCAAAGAAATTACATATTAAGTTTGATTGCAACACACCTAAAAAATTTAAGTTATTGTGTATACAGTTTGTTTACTACTGAGCAGGGTTTAAAATTACTAGAGTACCCCAGGAATTTTTGGTTGGGGGTCATAGTATTAAATGAGACAGACCCACATCAGCATTACTAAATTATAAAATTCCCAGAAGACATCTTGAATAACTGTGTTACCCTAGAGGGCCTTCATCACTATTACAGTATACACAGCCACACACACTCAACACCAATAGAAAATTTATTAGATCAAATACAATCTTTGGATGGGAAGGTTTACTGGCTTCTTAAAAAGTATCTAATATTTTCTGTCTACACTAACTTCCTTGGTCTACTATGGATAGATCAAGAAGAACAAGAGGACAAAGTCATCTTCATTCCCTGATATTCAAATTATAGCTTCCGTACTTAAATCAGCATCTCCTTTTCATCAACAATATAGTAATAAAAAAAAACTATCAGATATTTGTAACAGTTATGCTACACAAAAGAAACTTCAATGTGTGTATTAACCGACCAACGTACGGACACCATTTCTAAGGCCCCTAACAACTTCAGTGAATCATATTTAATCTCTCTCACACAGACATCAAATTCCATTGTATGACAGTTAGAGTTTCATTGTCCCCCCCAAAATATAAATCCCTCATACATTTCACACCATTATGATCTACAGTACACACTTAAACCCAACAAATAACAATGCTTGTACTGTGTGTGTATTATTCATCTATTTATCCTGCAATAACCTGTCTATTGTCTTTTTTTTTATACAGTACATTGGAATTTCCACTACTTTAAAACTTATCACTAATCTTAGATCAACAGTATGGGCACACACACTCCAAAAAGTATCTTTACGGAGGAGTCCGATGAATTTCAAAATGAACATTGTGACTCGTGTTGTCTCGGTAGGGCTGTCAAAATCTTTCGTCCGTTGTGTCGTACTGTCTGCCACAAAATCATAACGATAATTTTTGGAGCGTGTGTAACTAATTCTTATTTACATTACTAATCTAACATAATCTTAACACAGCTATTAAGTACAGTACAACAGTATGACCACCTTACCTATACTCTATGATAATTGTGCCACAGTCAGAATGCCCTGGAAGACTACGACGTATTCTACTGGTTTTCATTTTGCCTGGAGGTTGATTACCTTCTCTAACTCCATGTATGTTCTTGCAGTATGGACAACGTAAGTACTTAGGAAAGGTTTCCACCATTTGTTTCACACAGGCAAAGTGGAAGATATGGTTACAGTGGACCAACTGGACAGCACCACCGTCATCACAAGAGTCTGGGAAATTTAAAAGTTTTTGCTAATTTACAGTACTGTACCAGAGTAGACCTCATCTGGTGAGAGAATAAATACAAATACAATGAAACTAAAACAAAAACAACAATAATAATAATAATAATAATAATAATAATAATAATAATAAAAATAATAAAAATTACAGTATAATAAAAATTAAATAATAATAATAACCACGAATATAAAAAAATAATAAAATAAAAATAATCAAGAGTGAGAAACAATATATAGTATGTACTGTATGTTGTGTTGTCAAAGTAAGAGAAACAATTAAGACCCTACAATTGTGTGTAGATGAGGCAGAGAGTCAGATCAGCAACCTGGGACTTGGTCACAATTTTCGTGATGTCATATGGCAGCAGGGTCTACCATTAGACAACACATTATGCTTCCAATATCTTCCAAGGCGGTAGTACCTCCTTGTTTGATAGTTGCATACTACTGGTATATACTGTACTATCTAAATCATTATACAAAATATGGAAATAAGTGAATTTCCTTCACTAGTTTAATATAGAGCCCAATTCTTAGTAACCTGAACCCCACCTGGATGATCCAACACTGCCACTTGTACTTTACCAAAAGGGCTCGAGGAAAACGGTGAAAACTTACCTTGTGACTTAGATGTATTCCCAGTAGTATTTTCCTCAGTTTCTTCCTCAACTTCACATAAACCAGAAGCCTGCTGCAAGCTGACCATACATATTGAACACAATTCTTCTGGTGGTGATGATACAGGTCGAGTGTATTCCGTCAACAACTGTGGAGTTTATAGTACAGTACCGTATGTCTTAACAGAATTCAAAATCTTGTGTACATGTGGTTTTGATGGATACAACATGTAAATAAATGTGGAGAGAGAGAGAACGAGAGAGAGAGAGAGATGCATTTTAAAATACAAGCCTCAACTTCTCACAATACTGTACAGTATATCAAAGATTAAGAGGGAAAAAATGAAATCAATCAATACTTGGAATTGTAATACTATATAGCCATATAAAGTCATGTAAACAGTAGAACTGCAACATATTGAAGGATAAACAGGTGTATGTACTGTATAGTACAGTATTTACATTACCTTATCTACACCAGATATGGAGCTGGATCCTTCATGGTCTTTTAGGATGATCACCTCATCATCTCTGTGCAATAGACTGTTTGTTAAACTTGGAGTTCTGCTTCTTAAGTTGTAGGAATTTGTTCTCCCGATATTGGTCTGCAATGCATTAATGTAACCGATTAATAGACACGGCTAATATTCCACAAACACTGGCCAGCGTGCTTAAATCATAAGCCAGTGTCGGTTTATGAGCCTAAATTGTATGCCAGTGTTTTGTGGCATAATTACCATACCCAGCAGATGAGTTAATGGTCAGGTTAGGTTCTTTTAGTTATGTTTTTAATTCCATATTTTCCAAATGCTTTGAAGTGCTGGCCACATCAACACTGACAGGGTGAAAGTGGGTCCCATAGGCATGGCTGCCCATTAAGGAAAGTGTAGATACAGTACAGCACACCGTGTACTAAGCCTTCAATATAAGAGGAGGCAACATGGCCAGTACTACACTCTACTGCATTCACTTCCCCAATTTGTAAACTTGGTAACCATTTACGGCTGGGGGAAAAGAGAGCACCCAGGTATCGAACCACTGACCCCTGGAACAAGAGGCAAGAGCTATATCCACTCTACCACTAGGAAGGGTCATAACTCAATAATGATGCATTTCTCCAAACCTTCATTATCGCCAATAGCAATATTCAGCATTAAAGGCTGGATTAAAAAAAAAGGTTGATTTTTATGCCTAAATTATTTGCCAATGTTTGCAGAATAATTACCAAAGACATTGGACAGAAATGATGGCAATAAAATATCTAAAGTAGGTTGGGTGCTACCATAGCATGTGGTCAACATTTGTCCAATACAGTACTTTAGAATATATATAGAATCACAGTTTTCTAAAGTGATTTACTATTTTTAATACAGGTACAGTATTTAGTATTTTTTAGTTAAGGATAGGTTAGGGTAAACTAATATCTTTGGAGTCCGCAAGCTACTGAAGTTTTCAGACACCTTTGGTGTCTGAAAACTTCAGTAATTTTGGTTATAATTTACATTTTGGAAGAATGACTTGTAAATAAATACTTTACTGCATGAGCTATGGCACAATATTTTTAGCAAAATCAACAAATATTTTCTCAATGCAAAAACAGGCAGGGGAGATTAGAGGCTTTTGTCACTACCTGTATGGCATTAAGGAACTAAGTTAGGAAACTTTCAAAAGATGAAAACTTCTTCAGCTTATCAAAAACATTCCCAAAATGGCAGAGGATATAATTTTTTGTCAAATAAAAAGACCATCAAGAACCTAACCTAATGACTCAAATATCAGTATGTCTAACCTAACGACTCAAATATCAGTACTGTATGTCTAACCTAATGACTCAAATATCAGTATGTCTAACATAAAGACTCAAATATCAGTACTGTATGTCTAACCTAATGACTCAAATATCAGTATGTCTAACCTAACGACTCAAATATCAGTACTGTATGTCTAACCTAATGACTCAAATATCAGTATGTCTAACCTAACCCCCCAAAACAGAGAAGGACCTGACCTAACCTTCTATCTGGACCCCTCAGTGGTCCGACTCATTACCCAAATGTAGCCAAATATAGCCGGAATGCAGTCAAATAATGGTCCTACATGAATAAATCGGAAAACTTACTTTAATCTGAGTTAATAGATCGCGTGCATGTACTGACGGAGCGAGGAATTACCCAAATGTAGCCGCAATGAAGTCAAATAATGGTCCTACAAGCGTAATTCGGGCTGTGAATCATTTCTCGATTATTATTTGGTGTCATAAAGTCAAAAAAAATTGGTAAACTTAATTTAATCTGAGTTGTGTTGTGTTAGGTTAGGTTAAGTACAAGCACTTGATCTATTAACTCAGATTAAATTAAGTTTACCAATTTTTTGTGACTTTCTGACACCAAATACTAGTCGAGAAGTGATTAGTAGTCTGATTTATTCATGTAGGACCATTATTTGACTTCATTCCGGCTATATTTGGCTACATTTGGGTACATTTGGGTAATGTCTGACCCCTATGGCAACACACTTACGTATTTTCTACGGCGGGAGGCACTTCTTGTGTTCATTACGGCGGTACAGTTATTCTTTCTTGTTGTATCTTTGACTTTTAATCCTCTTCACCACACTAGTTTATGATAATGTATTGTAGCTCTCTGGTAGTATCCCCCAAGGCTGAGGACTGAGGAGTTACTGTCACACAATCAACTCACAAGTGTTAGGAGTAGGACTTGAGAATCACTTGTGTTTAAACGCCATAAAAACATTTCACCCATACTTATTATAATCATTGTTTCTTCTTCAAATTAGCACTTAACTTTTTTTGATTTATTAAAATATGAAGGATTAATCCAATATTTTGAAAAATACACTTTAAGGCAAAATATTCACAAGGAAAAAAAGTACTGGCACAGGAAAGCAAATAATGATAAATTACTGTTTCTATGTTTTTTTTTTAGATTATATTATCCTAACATGGTGAATGTGGTAAAGGGGATAAAAATAAGACTTAAAAAATTACATTGAAGGCAGACGACATAAACCAAACTAAAACTAACGGACCATTTGGTCAGGTGTGGTAATTTAGCGACAATGATTACCTCAGTAGCCGCACTTGTTAGTGTAGTTACCTGGTACAGTACTTGTTACGGTGGACGGGTCACAAGGTTGGTGATTATCATAGGATGTGATTGGATGATTCACTAATCGATATGAACGGAATCACATGATAAAGTTGATCAAGGTGTAAGGCAGGACAAATATATATTATTGTTTCAAACTAACGATTGGGAGAGGTATTCTGGATAACTGCACTTTGTTTAAACCACCAACACGGTAGTATCTTAAATTAAAACTACTGTAAGTCAGCATCATCGTTGTTACACATTTCTTATACAGGCTATTGAGAATTTTTCCAAGAACTAAGACTATTTTGTTTTTACAGGGCCAAGCGTTTTGTTTCCACTATTAAGTAATTATTTGTTCATTTTCCACCAAGTTTGTTTTGACTCTTAATCACTTTGCTAGGAATTAGCCAATCAACCACTCAGATGCTGTTCGTTACACTACCTGTTGTCCACGGAACAGACAATAGGGTACCAGTGGTGAAGGCAGAGCTCCGCCATATTAGTCTTATCAGTTTTGGTTCTCAAGCTCTATAACTTATTCTAATTCAACCCGCCTACAATTCCCAAGTCCCTGATATTTATGTTCTTACCTCTGGTTTCATGCAGGAGCACTTGGATCCCATTATTTTCCTCAGATATCACTTCAGATTTTATAAATATTCAGGTAACATCACAGCTTGTGTTTTATGGACATCTAGGTTCAGGCACGGGGGTGTTGTCACTGCTCGAGGCTCGTAGTATGGCAACATCAACTCTGGGAATAGAGCTAAGCCACTTTCCGTCAAGTAATTTTCACAGAGGTCAACATAGAGCTAGTACTTTAGTTTCTTATATATTTGCATTATGTGCAAGCCGAGATCCGACGTCAGTGCATGAAGGAATGTTTGCTGTATGATATTTTTCCAGCACCGGCCAGTGTCAGTTCAGACTAATTTGAGGAAATTAGCGTTATTGCCTTCACGACTTACTATCTCAATGTGGATATTTAGATAATTTTAAACAGCCACTTTTCGTTATCGCTTCATGGCTACTGATGGTGTAACAAAAACATAACAATAAATATATTCCATATTATTATATGCTGTATGGGTTGAGTAACAAGGCAATAGGCTTCTGAGGGGACAAGTTAGAGGATACCATAATTATAATTATTGATTTTCCCTTACTGCAGTGCTATGTCATTATCACTATAATTCTTAACTAGAATTTCTCTTACCGGGGTTCCTTCATCCCTGCCAGGCGTATGATGAATGACGCAATGATCCTTTTTTTCTTTTTCACATATGCAGTATATTTTATTAATTCATTTACCTTTTAAAATAGTATATTTTTCGAATATTAGCCACGATTCATGCTTAAATTACGTACAACGTTTTCAAGTATCTGAAGGAGAGATAATCAATGAATGACGTCACCAACACCACGTGGATCATGTTTACACCTCACAGATGTGTTGCGACGCGTAAAACAATGTTAAAATAAAACCACTTAAACCATTTATTATTATTCCTAATTTAAAAGTGGACAATGATAACCAACCCAACTTGAGGTAAACACGTGTACCATAAGAATGTAAAGTTAAATTAGGTTTATTAACTTTATGTTAGGTATTTATTTTAAACTTAATTCAACGGTCGTGTTTGCGAGACGTGAATTGTCGGTTCCGACCAAACTTCCAACAAAGTTCATGCTCTTTTGTAATCCATATACTGCACATAACACGGAAGACAAAAGGAACTCTATCTTTTTTAGTTAATAATATACACCGAGATTGTGAAATAGATAAGATATTCAGAGCTGGCTGTACCTACGTCAGCAAGACAGGAACTTGACAAAAGAAACAACCACAGCCATACCTGGCATAATACAGTATTGATGACTGTTCGAGTATAAGGTGAACGAAAGAAGTCACAGGTAACTGTTACATTTATTTAAATACCATTAACAAGTAGGTAAATTAATATATATATATATATATATATATATATATATATATATATATATATATATATATATATATATATATCATGTAGATCCACAATGAAAACGTGAATAAGATAAATCTTGATAAAATCACACGAGAAAAGGGAAACAACGGAGCACCTTAGCTTTTGTCTTTATACAAGACATTGTGAGAGGTTGGAGTCATAGACCACGTTCTTTGTAGACTTTATTCTAACAGCGTCAGCTGGTGACTGGCAACCGGGCACTGCCAAAGACAAGCCCCCATCTCAACATGGGAAAACATATCGTACGATGGTAAAATCTTACAGACATCTTCAGAGGCAACTGGATTACATGGACAGAGAGAGGCTTAAATATACAGGGTGACCTTAAAAACATGAGGTCAGGTCATAATGATGTCATCCACTAATCCCCACACCAACACCAACACCAACACCAACACACACGTAGAGGAGCTTAAGAGAAGGGGGCGACGTGACTAGTCAGGTCAGGTCACAAATAGGGGACCCACAAAATAACTATCATACATCTAGATCCAAGGTTTTCAAAGCATTTTTAACCTTGGGCCACTGACAAATTAATTTATGTAACATATATTAGTTTTGGACTGACCATCACTAAGGTTTATGGGTTTTAATTCCTTAATCAAACTAGCTTCAACCAGAAGTCTTTCTGTGACACAAGATGATTTGAATATTTCTAAGCTTTTTTCCCAAGCAATGGGATGATTATTATTCCTAACATGAACGAACAAGGCACTGCTTTCAGATGCTGTTCTGATATTGTACTTATGTTGTCTGATTCTGAGCTGCAATGTTTTTCCTGTCTGTCCTACATAATGACCATTACATTTGCTACATGGAATACAATAAACACTTCCATTTACATTCAAACTTGGGCTATTTTTTATTAACATATTGGTAATGGTTGAGTCATACTTGAAAACAACATTAATATTTAGTAGTTTGAGGGACCGAACTAACGAGACAAATTCATTACGATAGGGCAGTCAAAATATTCTTAAGTGTAGGAATTTGTCTGGTTTGAGAGGAATGAAAGGATTTTTTAGCCCCTTTAAAACAACGATCAACAAACACAGAAGGGTACCCAAGTTTTTGTGCAATGGAACGAATGTGTTTCAATTCATCATCAATAAATTCAGCGTCACAAATACGCAGACATCTTAAGAACATAGCAGAAAAAACTGACATTTTGGTAGACTCCAGGTGATTCGATAAAAAGTGTATGAAACTGTCTACCTGTGTGGGCTTTCTGTATACCTTAAATTTGTAGTTTTGGCCATTTCTCATGATAAGCATATCAAGGAATGGAAGAGAACCATTTATTTCTCTTTCAATTTTGAATGTGATACTTGGGACAATATCATTAAGCTTGTCTAAAAATTCCAATGGGTCACTGTTTCTAGGCCAAAGACAAAGAACATCATCTACATATCTATACCATGGAGGAATAAAGTCCACTATATTGGGTAGTAATCTAGCCTCAAAAAACTCCATATAAATACAGGCTAGAGGAGCAGAAAGACAATTACCCATGCTCATGCCAAATATTTGCTTGTAAAACTTCCCATTTGCTCTAAACACATTGTCAGTTACGCATAACTCTATCAATTTGAGAAAAGTATCATGTTCAATAGTTAAATCTAACAGTTGTAATTTATCTTTAAGAAATGAAAGTAGGCCTTTCACAGGTACTCTAGTGAAAAGTGAATTTACATCAAAACTTATTAATTCACATGGTCAGTGGCTAGAGCGTTTGCCAGATGTAAACAAACACACATTTATCACATCATATTAAAACTTCTGCAATGGCCCCCAAGGAACCTGGCAGTCGTAGCCGGACTAAAGATGCTAGATAAGCAATCCATATAGTTGTCACATCTCACAAAATGCACCAGTACTATACCAGGCATAAGTGCAGACTATTGTACACTACGAAAACTATTGTGATAATTAGAAAGTGGCCGAGTCCTGCAGCAGAGGATCTGAGAAGATTTAGGGCTGCTGGGGTTTAAGGTCTGACTTGCCTGTTGTAAATTAAAAAAAAAAAAAAACTTGGCTAAAACAGAGGCTCTTGGGAGATGAAGTGAATACCTACCTAATTTACCACCACTAGTACAGTAGAGGTGACCTTGACAGAGGGAGGAATTAAGGTGATGACCTGTGTAGGATTCCACTCATTGCTCTTGATAATGTTATTATATAAGGACTGTACTGTAGCCCATTACTGGTCCTGCTTCATGGCCTCAAGCTGGTAGACTGTGTCCTCTTGCATTAGTAGAGTTCAACATCTTGAAAAAGTGATCTAAGTTTGTATCTTCCATCTCTTTCAGGTTACCGAGTGCGCTTATAAGGTCCACACTTACTGAAGAGGTGCCAGCCTACTTGGATAATTGAGATGATTTGGTTCAGGAATAATCCCAGTCACTGTGTGGTGCCTCTTGTGGGGGTGTTATGTCTTTCTCCGAGGTATGATGGTTCCCATACATGAATTTTTCTATTGATGCTTTACTCCACAAAATCTATCTTCCCAACACTTTTCGCTCCAATTACCCTTTTCTCTACACTCATCTGATAGTTGTCTACGCTGCGCTATCATCCAATAATTGCCTACACTATCATCCAATAATTGCCTTCACTATCATCCAATAATTGCCTACACTATCATCCAATAATTGTCTACACTATCATCCAATAATTGTCTACACTGTCATCATATAACTGTCTTCTTATGTAATCTTTACATTTCATAAATTTCGTCTATATTTCCCTTTATCATAACTTTCTTCTTCTATTCATTCTTTATCCAGACGTTTCTGTCTTCAGTTCGTTTATCTTTGCTGTAGTCTCCCATACCTAGATCTCACAATAAAGCCGTTTTCTTTAGTTCTTTTCTCAGCAGCTTACCCGTGGCAGACTTAGGGATCTCGTTTATGAAGACGACTCCTCCCGCCAGGTGCTTATGGGGTGCTAGTTTCAGCTTCACAAACCTTCACAGATAAAATTTTAAGTTATATTCTTATACGTTTACCATTTCACAAAAGCAAGGGACAGATACAAGAATAGAGGTTACAGAAAACACCGTGTAAAACAGGTTAATAAGTATCCTGTAAATGTTGAAAAAGATGTATATAAAAATATAGTGAGTAATGACTTATGAATGATTAAGGTGTACATAAAACAAAGGTAAATACTGAGAAGTTCTATTACTGATGTTGTAGAGTTAAGTGATGGGGATGAAAGAGGCCGCAACAGGTTCTTTTTTTTTACGAGGAAAACTTAAGAAAAGTGACCAGATGTATTTTACAATGAGCTAGAGGTATTTTTCACACTATTTACACTTTATGAACAGAACACCACAAAAGAAAGTTTCTCTACTGCTGCACAGGGAAATTAAGAACCAAACAGACTGTGAAGAGCTGCAGAAAGATCTGTATAAGCTTCAAAATGATCGAGGAAATGGCTGCTAAGATTCAACGTCACGAAGTGTAAGAGGCTGCACCTGGGTTGCACCAATAGTAAGGAGGTGTATCTTATTTTCTTTTATCCTCTTCGCCACTGATCGGCTCGTTAGCCGCCCGGGCGATCGGTCACATCTCTGTCACGCACTGTTGGCAAGTATTGGGCATGCACCGGCTTTTGAATGTACCTGAACCTGCTCTAGTGTTGGTCAAGTCTTGTCTTGAAAGAGCTCACACTCGGTGCCGTCACAACACACATGTCCCAACAGGACGAAGAGACTGCATTAACACAGATCGAATGTTAAAAGGACCTGAGTGTGTATTTCGACAATGAGCTTAAATTCTCGGGCCATTGTAAGAAGGCGAATCAGGCAACGAAACTAGTTGGTCTTATAAAAAGGTCGTTTAGGTATGTGGATGGTTCGTCACGATCTTTAAGAGTGAGGTGCTTCCCCGTCAGGTCCCCGATGAGGTGTGCTATAAACTGTGAGTTAATTGAAAATGTCCAAAGGGGGGCCACCAGACTGGTGCCTGCTCTACGGAACCTCAGTTTACCCAGAGAGATTGGAGCACCTACCTAGATTATACTACAGACGGGCGAGGGGCGACCTAATCGAAGTGTATAAACATCTCAGGGGTCACAGCTCAAGGTTGAAGAAGCCACAAGTCCAGAAAACTGTGCGGATAAATTTTTTCGGAGTGAGAATTGTGAACTCTTGTCAACTGAGGGTCATCTTTGAATGAGTAACAGTTAGTTTGTTTGTGATTATTGTCATTGCGTGAGTAGCGATCACTGGCAACTCAGGGATATATATACCAACGCATCAGGCAGGACGAGCGTCCCCTGACGCCGCCCCAACGTTTGTTCCAGGTATGTTTATGTGTAGCCATTCAGTTAATTCAGTGAATTGTAGTGAATATCAGTGTTCATCAGTGTTCATGCTTTAACAGTTGAATTGTCATTCACCCAGTGTAAGAGAAGTAATATAACGTAATACGTCTGTCATCTAGACGAGATTTGTTTGTGTGTTGTCATGCTTCCCAGTCCGTCCCCTGACGCCGCCCCAACGTTTGTTCCAGATCCCATTGTGATTCTTGCATCACTCAACAACTGCCCCGGATGTAGTAGATACCCAGCAGGGAGCATATATGAAACGATGGCACCGATGCGGCATGATTAATGTGCTCCACTGCCTCGTTGGGCCAGACCCCAGACTCGCCATGTGTCTGGCTACCACACACAATAACAACGGTCGTGAATCTCAGTGTTCTACCCTGGGACGCACCCTGGAAGTATATGTCCACAGTGAGTGTTGCAACATGTATGTTAGGGATAATTAGTTGGAAATAATTATCCCATGTTGGGTAGTGGACCCAGGTATCTGCTGATTTCATTATTAACGTGTATGTTGAGTAAGATCTTGTAACTGTACTGAGAAGTACCACTTGGATGTTGAGTAAAGTAATCTGCAATGAATGCCAGGTACTATGTATTGTGAGTAGGGCCAAGGAACTGGTCCTGCTATGCCATGTAATGTAACACCAGTAAGGTTGTGTGCAGTAAGAGTGTAAGGTCTGAGTAATTACTGTTGAGTAAAAAAATAAGAAAATAAGTAAAGAAGAAAGAACTGAGTCTGCAATAAGCCCAGTGTAATGACCACGGTCTTACACGTCAGTTAGCGCCAAAAATCAAATGATTCATATTACGCTCAATAGCCCACAAAACATGTACCTCGGCTTTCGTTTGAGTCCTCCATCTGAGGAGTCCGTTTTCTCATCACTTCAAGACACCTCAGTCCTCCGTTATCCCATTTTCTCTGACTTACTGAAACCAACCTCTCTATAAAATGGATTTGAGTGTGAGAGAGAACACCCTTGTTTTGAGTCAACTTAGATATGTCTGTTTACAGTTGGAACATTCAAGATCCATTGTGAGTGGGGTAGAATGCTTCAACTGTCCTCATCGTTAGTAGAACGTGTCAAGTAAGTGAGTGTCGAGTTTGCCAGCTAGAGTGGCGTATTTTATGTCGTCCGTGGGGGTATCCATGAGTTTCTGATCGCGCCTGAAGTTATATCATTTTGTCGCCCCGACATCAGAGAATCTGATGTTTATAGTTTAATTAGTGTCAGTTGTCTATTTGAGAAAGTCATTAATCTCCTGAACTATTCTGTCAACTGGTATAATCTCCAAGATCTAGCGCCTCCCCGTGAATAGCCCCTTGTTCGCCTCAGGCCTGAGCTTGCAGAATTAATGTTATCGACGTGTATATTCCACCTTTTCCTGGCAAGCTCAACCTCTGATTAGATTATATGAATAGACATAGGAAATTACCCTGATCAAGAACACCGGAGTTCATAACTAAGTATACAGTGATCCAAAATGATAGAGAAGTTATGTTGTTGGTAAGATCGACCCTTCTGGTATGAATATGGAGGCCCAAGCTGCCCAGCAGGTGCACATATATACCTCTACACGAGGGAGAATCACGCATTCGTGACTTCCTCAACGTCTCTCCAGGTATGTTAACGTGTGTTCCCGCCGCCTATTAATTCAGTTTAACTTAGTCAATTTTGGTGAATATCAGTGCTCATGTGTTAACATAGTGAATTCTGTGCCAATTAAGTCGAGTAACGTAGAGATTTAGATATTGTCTGAACCGTTGCCAGGCGTATGTTTTGTATAGTTGAAGTTAGACCTTTACGCATTCGTGACTTCCTCAACGTCTCTCCAGTGTGTTGAGCTGAATACTCATCAGCTAACGTGGGGCGGTAACCGGGTTGGACGATGCCGTTAATTCGACAGGACTGAACTGGGAAGTCCGTTTCCCGCAAATCAGGCGCCCACTCCCTGAGCGTGTGTCGGTCTACAACCGACCCCTAACAGCGATCTTCATTTGTTGTAGAGACCAGCGTTACCCTGGGGCACTCCTCACAGTTACATAGGCCTAAGTATTATGGTACCTTGTTTGGGGGATAACTAGCAGAAATATAGTATCCCAGGTTAAGTATTGACCCACTGAATGAGAGTTAAAAGTGCCATGTTGTTCCTTGTGAATTAACAGGAGGTATTGTATGTTGAGATAATTGTGGAGTTGTCCAGTGTGCTATGTATTCATTGGTAGTGACCATGAAATGATAATCTGAGAGTATAATGATATAACCAAGAAGTGAAGAGTTAATTTGCTACTTGGTAAGGTAAGACCTGAGGGTCCAGTGATATCTGGTGTATACCCAGTACTGAATATCATTTGGCAGAGTGACAATACCACAATTGTCGATTGAAGTAATAAGTATTTGGAGGTATTTAATGAGGTAATAAGTTCTTGAAGTGTTTGATGACTTAAGAAACAAATTGCAGTTCTGTTTTGTCTGAGTGAATCTAAGATGCATCTTATCCAATCACTGTGTTAATAAATATTGAATTAGTAATCTACGTCTACGAGTATCACCACTCTATCCTTTCCCACATTGGTTCTCAGAAAATAACTAACTCACGTGCCTAGAAGCTCGCTACCTAACAGTTAACTAAGAGATGTTATATTCTAGAAAATCCTGGGTGGTGGCAGGCTACCGTTGTAAGTATAATAAGTGTGGTAATAACAAAGACATGGTTTCCCAGGTTAATCCATGGTTTAGAATATAACTAGAACAAAATATATGGATGAGATCATAATATATGACAGGAAATGAAAAGAAAGAACATTGACTTGGAGAACATAAGCAGAGAAGCATAAGAGTTACTTATATAAGAATATATAAGAATATAAGGTATATAGAGATAAAGAACATATAAGAATATAAGCAAGACTATATAAAGTAAGTATGTGTGTAAAGAACTGAAGAAGGATAAGTATATAAAACGGGATACTCATTGAAAAGAATAACTGGATGGTAAATTATTGAAAAGAGGAAACTCGGCCCGTTACACCAGGAGTTGAGCCTGATAGTTATATGATTAATAATATATTTTTTTCCCTTTGATTTCATATTAATAAATTTGTTCTTAGAGTACTTTAGGTGTATTCATTTCTCCCACAGTATTTTACCTTTATTTCCGTCCAAGTGACTTGATACCAGAATTACCTTACCCATGTGCCTAGACCCTCGACCATGCTACCAAAAGAATAGGTGACAGAACCGAGTAAGAGTAAGAACTAAGATAAGAGAAGTAAGTAAGATGAGGGTGGTGTAGAGGTGGTGGAACACACGCGCCCTCACACGATATATTCAGCAGGTGCATGCCCAGTATCTGCCAACAGTGTGTATCAGAGACGTGACCGATCACCCAAGTGGCTCACGGGCCGATAAGTGGCGAAGAGGATTAAAGTAAAAAGTAAAAGGATGCCCTTACCAATTGTAAACCTTTATGACAATATTACTATATAATTATTATTATCTCAAGTACTGTATAAATGAGAACAACCTGTAGTCAGTATGAAGAAAACAGTAACTATAAAAAAAAGTCTTTGATGTTATGTACAAATTTCTTTATTAATGACAGTGACTCAGACCAGGAAGCTATGCACTTACTCTTTAATATCAGTTTCTGTAGTCGGTGCTGAGGTGACGACGTAGGCGCGTGGTGCCTCCCCAAGCCTCTCATCCGGCACCCCCACCACGCCCACCTCCACCACTTTGGGGTGTTGCAAGATCACGTCCTCCAGTTCAGATGGCGCAACCTTAGGGGATACGTCGACAGGATCAAAAATTAATTAATTTAAATATTGCAGTCAAGGGGAGCTATCCTCTGTGGGAGTAGCCATGGCAAACAAAGATGGCTTCCTGTTTTAACATATTCTTTGCCCTGTCTATTTCTCTTACTCCTTTCCCTATTTTTCTCTCAAGATGTGTTAGAAGAAACATTTAATTTGCCATTGTGAGTTTTTTCTCGTGATGGAGGTTTTCTTCCACCCAACACACTCCATGCACCGTGTCATGCTACCCTCTGCCCAAATGGTTAACGAGCCGGTCAGTGGCAGAGAATTTTCAACCTTGAGCTGTGACCTGTTGGAAATACAATAAGCATTCTACAGTAGTTAGTGGATGTGTCAGCTTTAAGAGTAGATATGAATACTGGTTTCTTTATTTTATGGTCGTCTTGACATTGCTGAATCATTACCTGGAAGTACAGTATAAAATGCTTAAACTTTTTTTTAAAGCAACTCATTAACTACCTCTACAAAACTCTGCTCATAAGAAGGCCAACTGAGGATGGAAGCCATTTTTGTTTCCTATTGGAGTTGTCGGATCTGGCAGGTGGATTAAATGAAATCTTACCTGTAGAGCCTTGACCTTAATGAGTTCCTTAGTCCGATCAACAATGGTAAAGAAACCTTCCTCATCATATCTTCCAATATCTCCACTGTAAAGCCAACCTTCTTTATCGAAGATTGCCGAGGTGGCGTCAGTATTTTGGAAATAACCCGACATCATCTGGAAGAAAGAAACTCATACTGGTTAGATTAGGTTAGGCTTTGATTTCAGTTTAATTCGTGAAAAAGAGCACTATGGAATAACACACTAAATGTACTGGCAGTATTCCATATCAGAAAAGACATGTATGATGTAAAAGATAAATGGTTGAGTAGAAATAAAGCAAAGTATAATAATTACACAGGGTGTCTTAATACAAATCTCTCCATTATGGTTGGGTGGTAATTCTTCTCCCGTCACGGTATCAACAACCTTGGCTGACACATTAGGCAGGAGGCGACCACAGTTTCCTATCTGCTGATGAGTTTTTGGAGTTAAATGTGTAAGGAGCACTTCTGTCATCCCATATCCTGTCAAAGAAATGATTATATACTACGAATATAAAGGCAGACGATCAGGATATTCAAGAGAGCCATCATGCATTACTTTCTCATCATTGATCTGAGATAGGAGAATATTAGAAGTCCATGCTACAGAGATCAAAGAAAGGAGATGATGTAATAAAGGTATATTGTGGCTAAGATGAAGTGATCAAGAGTGCCAACTAATTGAAAATGTCCAAAGGATCGAGGACCACCACAGTGTTGCTGGCACTCAAACATGTCATGTAACAAAAGAGATTAGAATGTCTACAACTGCCAGTTTATATTAAAGAAGGGCAAATGGTGAGTTAACAGTGGTTTATAAGCATCTTAAACATTGCATTACTCAGTCAACTGTTCATATATGCAGTAAGAGGATGGCTGGCTGCTCCACTACAAACCACAGCTTCAAGTTAAAGAAGATAACAGCACAGAAAACTGTAAGTGGTAACTTCTTCGGAGTAAGAGTTGTGAACTCTTGGAGTAACCTGCCAGAGACTGTTAGCTCTAACTTGACCAACACTGACACATGTTCAGGTATATTCAAGAGCCCATACATGCCTAGTACAGTGCTTGAGACAGTGCAAACAACACTTAACTTGCTAGTACAGAAGAATGAAAAGTGGTAAAACGGATAAACAAATACTGGAAGCATTAAACTTCACAGGAACTTCCTCTAATAAAGGATCAACTTCTCTCCTCCACTGTTTTATTGTCAGCAGATTAAACACACAGGGGTAGTGGTTGACGTGGGGGATAATTAACAAATGGCAAAAATTCTTATATTATGATCTATGTACTGTACCTTTTTCATGTATAGCCGACATCATCCTTGGATCAAATTTATTCCTCTAAAGAAAGCATTTTATACTCCACTGTAATATTTACAAACTTCAGTATCTTTAATACCTTCTTGGAAGATGATGGGTCTCCCAATTTTCTCCATAAGTGCTTGTGCAGCTGAGAGTGCAACAGGGGCAGCACCGCACAAAGTTACCTCAAGAGAAGTTAGTGCCTCAGGGGTGACTGTAGGAGAGTGGGCCAAGAAGTTGAGCACAGTAGGGACTGTGTGCAGGTATCTCACCTGCAGGGTAGGAAAGTTTTTGTGAGAGCCTACACAGCATGTTAACTGGATATGTACAGTAAAATTATTTTGATATATCATTAAGATTAATCCCGTCATTATAATATCATTTTCTCCACCAATTTTTCCTAGGCCGAAATTCCACATTTTACTGAATCACAGAATCTTCTATGCTGTACTTTATACCATTCCAAAAATCTAACAGACAAACTTCTAAATCATGCACATTGTATTAACATTCTCGCTACTCAAAACGATAACCTTCTTTGTAAGTTTGAAGGCTGATGAAGTGCTTTATCTCTCCTAGTGTCGCAGACTGTACATCCTTATCTATATCATTAGCTTACAATACAAACCTTGATAATTAAATTTACTTTCCTGTAGTTATTCAAAAGTGTCACATATTGTATTGCTCAGACAATACCTAACACACACACACACACACACACACACACACACACACACACACACACACACACAGAGGCATTAGCATCACCACCAAATATATGAATCAAGTCATATCTCATTCAGACTAGCCTGACATCGACAATAATTTTATTAACATTGACAACTCTAAACCATAGATATATTAAGCATCATGGTGGCATACCAAACAACTTACCTTGTAGTGGTTAATGTCTCTGGTGAAGGTGTCGGGGTTAAACTTGGGCACACACACCAGTTTTGACCCAGTATGAAACGCTGCCATAATTTTGACAAAAAATCCATACACATGGAAGAAGGGAAGGTAACCAAACACTGCTTCTTGGTATGAATCTGAATGAGAAAATATTATAATGTGTTAACAAGACATACCAGCAACAGTTATCTATATATTGTTATTATTGATGAAAGAGTTAACTAACAGTACACGTGCAGCCATTACACCACACTTGGACATAAGAAAAAACTAATTCAAATGAAGTTATACTTATGATTTTTTACCCAAAATAGAGTATAGCTTAAAATATTTACTGTCAGAGTTTCAATAATCTAAGTGAAAAATAAAACTTCAAAAAATTAAAAAAAAAGCTCAAAACTGAATGAAATTTGGCCAATTTTCAACAGCCACAAGTCAGCACCCCATAGCTGTCCTGGGATTTTTTTGGGTAATATAATTATACAGAATATTTGTTAAACTGTCTATCTGTCATTGGTCTGTGTTCTGACAGTCATGGTAAATAAATGAATTCCGTAAACTAAAATTCCTTCAGCGGCTCAAAAGAACCACGTAGAAAAAGTAAAGAGTGCAGTGTTGTACAGTACTGGTAATAAACTTATGAAGTAGCCAGATAAACAAATTTATTTGATAAACTTATTGATTTAAAACAATATCATTAAAATCTATGAACATTCGGTGGAGCCTTTGTTTTCTAAAGATAAAAAACTTGTTTGAGAAAACGCAAGTCAAATTTATTCTCATAATTATGCAATTACTGAGCATTATTGAGACTAATTAGTGTGCATGATGAGATATGTATTGGATATGATCAATAAAACATTGTAGCTGATGGAGTTATGTGACGGGTGTACACTTGTGGTATAAACCTCGTCACTGGGGCATTATTGAGACACCTGTACTGGTATTGATATCCCACGTAAAACAACTATTTCTTATTCATAGTTGCTACCAAACAATGAATTGCAAAATTTAAATGAGCCTGAACCGTGCAATAGAGCCATAAAGCAACAATGTGAGTATCGCTTCCCAGTAGGTGAAGGGCTCGAGTCCTGCTGTGATCAGTCTGACACTCACCACCAAACAGGTTTCCCAACTCCGGTTTCCTCCTGTACTTACACTGGATAAACCAACTGCCCGTACAACTAGTAAGCTGATAAGTGGTGAAATAAATAAATAAATAACTATAATATTAACCTGTTGTCTCAGAGATTTGCAAGAAGTACGGGGATGTGTACATGTCAAGGTTAGAGGTTAAAGCACCGTGAGAGATGGTCACTCCTTTGGGGTGTCCAGTAGTTCCACTTGAGTAGGGCATGACTGCTATATCACTCCGGGAAGTCTAGAAAAGGACAAGGAATCATTATTGTTCAACTTTTAGCTTTTATATATATATATCAACCTCTCATGGACTTATGGGCTGGATTAATTCTGACAAAAATAATCTTCCGAACTTAATAATTCACATTACTGACCTCTACAGGATCAGCAAAGGAGACAGCTGTGTTCTCCAGGACGTGTTGCAAGTTAATGGATCCAGAAATAGACGATGGACCGTTCATCATCAGGACAACTGGCTTCTTGTGTAGTGCAAGGGCAGCATCTAGGTTCTTCTCCAAGCCTGTGTCTCCAACCACTAATTTGGGATTGCTAACATTCAGGTGTCGACATATTTCCTCTGTGTGACAGAAAAATGTCCGATGAAAACTTCAACAAGAGAGAAGCTTCAGGGATGTACAGTATCTAAATGCAGTACAGTACAGTACAGTACAGTACAGTACATGCATCCTGTAGTCAGCGAAAGGTGTTCTGCATATGGCATCTATAATAATTAAATAATTATTATAATGATGTCTTTTCTTTTAACTTATGACACTTCCCTCCCACAGGAAGCTCCTGTTGGAGGGTTTAGCCAAGACAGAAAAGCCTTCCTGTGACCAACCATCCAAGCAGCTGACAGGGTGTCACCCGCGGTGTTCTCGACATGTATCAATATTTATATGCCTGATATCCCACAAGTCTGAAAATATGACCACTTACAATATTTTCGGAATCATAAACCCACTGCAGTATTACAGAGTGACTTGCCTGGTGTGGAGGATGTGGAAAGTAAATTTGCAACTGCCCCAATGCTGGCAGCTCCCAGCAGTACAATGGGGTATTCTGGCCTGTTAAGCATCACTATCGCCACAACATCCCCTTTTTTGACGCCCAGTTTAGTCAGCATCCCGCCCATTCTGGCAATGTTGTCCATCAGTTGAGAGTATGTAGACTGGCGGCCAGTCACTGCACATTCCTATAAATTTCCATAAAGTTCTCATACTTTATTGAAATGGGAGATGACTCCCAAAATTTTTTGGCCACAGCTGTAACAAATACTGCAAAATAAATAAATAAGGAAAATAAACCACTAGCAACATTAGCTAGCTACATGTGAGATGCTTCTCATACACAGGTACAGAACTGTACCTGAAGGTTCTGTTCCTGGCTAAAGTGGAGGACTGTTGTTCCTCCTTGCATACTATGGTAAACCCTGTACTACACATAGCAAAAAAATGTATCGTGCAGGCAGTCTGCCGACTTCCGTGATGATCCATACTTCACCTGATGTGTTCATATTCAGTTATACCATCAACTATATACACAGCAGGATATGTCGCTAGCAACAGATTATGTGAGGACATCCTCAGGTAAGGACAGCAGGACTACCACCATAACACTAGCCATCGTCCGTGGCGTCATAAGCTTGGCACGTGCGGTACCCTTTACTGTGTGTATACTCAGTGATCAAATGGCTACACTATTGGGTGTGCTTGCTGATGATGGAACAATGTAGACAAACCTGCTAGCAAAGAGACGAGATTATCTACTAGCTACTGATTTAAAGTGGAACAACCCTTTGGTGAACTAGCATCATGCTGAGGAGGTGCAGTAATGTACTGGGTGTTGAACAGTGATGGAACAAGCTTTCCGTGAAGTAGAACCTACAAGAACATGCTAATTCACCTACTGTGGCAACCCTGTTGGCCCATTTGGATGAATTCTTGAAGACGTGGGTGACCAGGTTACCAGGGACCACTTCAAGATCTGGATACTTTGATGTGATGATGTTGTGGGCAGACCAGCTCGTGCAGATGTGTCTGGCTCCTGTCCTGTGTGGTCATGGGAGGAGGGTAACTTAATCACCACCCAAAGAGCGCAGGATCATGAGTCTTAAAATGATGGTGAAGTTAAGAGTACTGTAGTAAACATTATCAGAGGCAGATTAGGATCAAATAAGGTGTAAGATGAGAGAAAATAGACACCAAACAATTCTAGACACGACCAGGTACTGTAGCTCAATTCTGAGAAAGTTTTTAAGGTCTCAGGAGCCCCTACAGGGCCTACACTCAAATAATTTAGGATTCAATTAAAACTTTTTGGGGGTCGCGATTATAAAATAAATTGTCAGCCAGCAAGCGTATTTACTGCACTCACTAAATATTTCCCAATACAAAAGACCAGGTGGCAAAAACTGTACAGTACTTTGTTTGACCAAAATGATCAGTGGAGGAAACAAATGAAGGGAAGAAAGGCAGATTTCCGCTCCTATAAATGGTAAAAATATCTTCGAGATGTCTTGAAAAGTATCCAACTGACATAACTAAAGTGCGTCATATAGTTCCGTTGCTTCACCAGAGAGAGTGAGGATGTAGCACTTTGTACAGTATTTAGCACAGTAACGTATTTTTCATTTGGTACACACAGAAGCATCCTGGCTGCCACCGCATGTTCAAGCTGCTCTCTGAAAGCATGTACTATCGCTGGAGCCTCCAGAAGCTTAATGTTAAAAGCTCTTCTGGAGGCTTGCTGCCTTCGCCGTTTTGGGGTGACGTGAAGTGAGATCTTGGCTCTGACGAACCGATGATCAGTGTCGCAGTGGTCTGAGCCACACATGACACGTACGGGTGATGAGGACTTCTCGGCGACCTCTTTCTCTGACAATGTGGTCAATAAGATGCCAGTGTTTGGATCGTGGGTGTTGCCACGAACCCTTGAACTTGTCGGCCTGCCTAAACAAGGTATTGGTGACAGTGAGGCTGTGTACAAAACACTTGCTGAGGAGGAGTAGGTGTTGGGATTACACTTGCCTCGTCCATTTCTCCCTATGATTCCCTGCCAAATGTTAGCATCTCTGCCAACTCTGGCAATGAAGTCACCAAGGAGCACAACCTTATCTTCTCTGGGGATAGAGGTTAGAACTCAGTCGAGGTCGGCGTAAAAGGCCTCCTTGATGTCATCCTCTGCATCCAGTATAGGGGCGTATGCACTGATGGAGAAGGCATGACGTGGGGATTCAGTGGGAATCGGAGCGTCATGAGGCGCTCGTTGATCCCAATAGGCATTTCAGTTAGCCTGTGTAGGATGCGTTGGCGGATGGCAAAACCAAGTCCACAAATGCGGTTTCTCTCTGCAGCAGGCTTACCCTTTCAGAATAAGGTATAGCCAGTCACCCGTTCTGTGAGTTGACCCTCGTCTGGGAGCCGGGACTCACTAATGGCTGCTATGTCGATATTAAACCTAGCCAGCTCTTTAGCCACAAGGGCAGTTCTTCTTCCAGGACGCTCATTTGTGCCAGTATCCAGAAGGGTCCTGACATTCCATGCAGCGACCATAAGAGGTTGTATACACACACACACACACACACACACACACACACACACACACACACACACACACACACACACACACACACACACACACACACACACACACACACACACACACACACACACACACAGTCTTACTAATTCGTGTACACACAAAGAATGTTTATAACACCTAACCTCGTGAGAGTCCTCGTCGCCAACACTCCTCGCCCTGATGCTGCTGTGACCCATGATGTCATCGCTATAGTTCTGTGGAGGAGAGTGAAAGTTTAGTTGCACTCGAGGGTGTACAGTACTGCTCCACTATCTACACTACTTATCTGTTTACTGTATTCCTAGATAAGTAATTTGTGTAGACCACATATTTCTATATTCTTCCTGCCGCCCTCTTGTTCAGTGCTCTTCCCAATATTAATGAGATGTAGATGTTGACGAGTTATTATTTTAACTACCCAAGTGTGGACGGCACAGAATGGGAAGGAAGAAATAGTAAACGCCCATTACAGGTCTTCTCAGTTCCAGACTAGAGTTCGTTGATACAGTATATTGTATGTAAAAATGGTTGGGTTGCTGGTCATGGGGAATTTGCGGTGTTTGGTGAGCTTTATTTATAGCTGTGTTCACAACTATGCTTAATTTTGCTAAGGACGGAGGATCATGGCACCTGGGGTATATTTCTAAAGGAAAATAATTTTTTCTTGCAATTACGTAATTTGAAAATTTCTGATGTAATTTACTGTGTGTAGCAACGCACTTCATTACATAACACCTCTCAGTGGAAGCCAGCAGAGGTGAGCCTTTGGGATCTGAGCAAGCAGCACAACTATCTGAGATAAAAAATATTATCTGGGCTATTAAAGAATATCTCGGTGATACTGATCAAGTAGGTGATCCTTGGTAGACGGAATTATAAGCTGTTGCCTTAGCTTAGTGGTTCTCAAACTCGGGGTAATTACTGGGGTAAAAACTACATTTTGGCTGGGGTAATATGCTTCTGTTGGCACGATGGGGTAACCTCGTATTAAACACTTATAAGTTGAGAAATGATTCCGTGACCCGTAGCACATTCGACACTGTCGAGGATATTGATTCTTTCTGGCTTTAGCAAGGAGCAGTGGGATACCCAACTCTAATGACTCGGGCTATCGACGTACTTCTTCCATTTCCCATGACCTATATGTGTGAACTTGGGTTCTCGGCACTGTACCACATCAAGTCCAAGACTAGAAACCGGCTCGTTCCAAGCTCAGATATGAGGCTGGCTCTGTCAAAGACTAAACCACACATACAAAATCTGGTGTCGACAAAACAAGTTCATCCATCTCACTAAGACTTAGTCTATAACAGCACTGTAACTGTTGCACTATTATTGATTTTTGTATAAGAAGGACTAGAATTGTACACTTGTGTTTTTTATATTAAACTTTATTGAATAAAAAGAAAGGAGTAAAATATTACGTTGGGGTAATTCGAACCTGTCAGACTTTAAATAGGGGTAAAACTGTAATTTTTTTTGAGAACCACTGCCTTAGCTGGATCAGTCGAGGCCACTAAACCATCACTACCTCGTAGAAACAGAAGGTAAACTAATAGCTCTAACACGCCACAGTTTCCCCCAAAGAATATTCTCAACTCCTGTAACTTGTTGCTACAAATCAATGTGTTGGTTTGAGAAATTATCCCTAGATATCTAACTAAAGTTGGATGTCAATAACCTACTGACTGTACATTGTTTATAATCTGGTGTTATTATATAAGGCTTAATGTAATTTACGTACAGCGGCCGCTTGGTGGCGTCACATTCGGGGGGTGAACGCTCTCACCCCATAGTGCCCCATCCTTCTAGTGTGTAGTACCCTCATCACGTGTGTCCCAGGCCGAGGACTGAACCCAAGACAGTACTGAGTTAGTGTATCCCGAAACAATATATTTACGTGTCTACCCAGTGATTAGTTATTGTTTGTTATTTTATACATTCATTTTATTTACATACCGTGTTTAGTTTACATGTGACAACAGCCGAAAAAGTTGTGTACAAGTTTTAAACACGAAGGAACATGCGTCAAAACGGACATATTATTTGAACCTGTTTTTAAGACGTTTATATCTTGTCAATGGGCCTTAAAATAATCTGAATTACCAAACGTCTGAACTTAAGCAAGAGTTCCTAGTGATCACACAACACAATACTGACAACTACTACTGTACGTATTCATGATCCGCGTATTTTAAAGTCTAACATTAACATTAATACTCACATCAATAACGTCAAATACTTCCCGGGAGTAAACAGAACAGTGTGCTGTGTGTTGAGGCTTCTGTGTATCACCGTAGCGTCGACCAAACTGACGTCAGTTCAGTGGGCCAGGTCCTGCTCGTTGCCCGCCATAATGGTTGAAACGCACTAGTGATTATTATTCTGTCCAGGGTTGCCAACTCGGATTTTCAAATGTCGCTAGGCTGGTACCTAAAAGTAGCTAAATGTCGCTAAATCTTCCATGGAAAGTCGCTAGCTATTATTCCCCCCCTTCAGTAATTTGATGCAAATAATATTTTCATAATGACGACTATAATGGACGGAGTATAAATAAAATGCATTATGTAAAAATAAAAATATTATTTTTTTTTAAAGTTTAATGTGCACACTTACCAATTATTCAATAGTAATTGCATCCCAGTCCTCTTCGTAGTCGTTGGCAGTGTGAACAACTGTAGAGCTGGAAGCATGTGAAGTGCTTGGTTCAGGTTCTCTTGTAACTGTATGCCTCCACAGTCCCTATCTTTCTTAAAATATCACTAGGAAGTTCATAACTTGCACAACAGGTGTTCTGTCTTTTTAACCCATACTTTATTGTAAGAATTGCCTTTAATGTCGATAGTTTCATTTTGTTGCGCAATTTTGATTTCACAAAGTTCATATTACTAAATGTGCGCTCTACATCTGCGTTTGAATGCGGAAGAGATAAGGCAGCGAGTGCAATTTCAGCCAGATCATGGTAAGGGTTTTCACCTGTCGCATCTCTGTAATTTGCCACTTCTGACCACAATTTTAGGGTGTTAGATGCATGGACGGGCTGACATCAAGTGATCAGGAAATAGACGTGTCCCTCCTTCTGTACCACGACCCGTTCAAATGTATTAAACTTTTCTTATTATTTATTGTCCCTGTAACCCCGTTGCTATATATTATGGCTCGAAATTAGGAAAACTGAGTTTTCATGGACAGTCCAAAAGTATCCAGAAAGTCGCTAGATTTCTGTGGATATCTCTAGATTTGCGACAAGTCGCAAATCGCTCTAAAATGTCGCTAGAAAAAAACAAAAAGCTCTAGATCTAGCTACAAAGTCGCTAAGTTGGCAACTCTGATTCTGTCGCGATATTTAACTCAACTACATTTGGTTTTCTAGTACTTTAACTATATCTTGGAAAATGTTGCCAGTTGAGTGAGTGATCGCATATATACAGCATACAAATATACACTGAACCTGACCGGGCGGTTACTAAAGCACTGTTCATACTCGTTAACCAATTAGGTACGGGATCCCCTGTGCTGAGTAAAGTCGCCTGGCGTTAACTAAAAGTACCCGTAGTGAAGTGGTTAATTTGTTGACCTACCAGCCGTCACTCTATCATTCTGAATTTCTTAATATGATATCAAGTAAAATAGAAGTTGCATTTTGTATGGTGTAGTGCACGTTGTATTAATCCTACCATAAAAAAAACCCGTTAAAAAAACTATTCCAAATTTTGTGGCAGCCTGTGAACTCTCAAGTACTGTGCTGTATATGTGAACTCTCAAGTACTGTGCTGTATATGTGAACTCTCAAGTACTGTGCTGTATATTGACGAGTGCAGCACATCACACAATGTCTGCTAGTGATATAAATCTGAAAATAATTTGGAAACTGAGCTTGAATTTAAACCGACTGACCCTAAATTTTTTAATATCTTGTATGACTAAAGATAAACTTATATTCAGATAATTACATACAAAAACAACCCCCAAAACAACAGAATACTGGACAAAGTAAACCACGGTCGGGACAAACAACATATTAATTCTCACTCACGGGTATGGTGGCTTACAGAATTCAAGTTCTTGGTGTAAAGGAACTCTTGTTTATGTCTAGTCACACTACGCCCCTAAACTCTGGTCTAACCTTATTACACAGTTTTATTATTCTAAATTCAAGGGAAATAAATTAAAAGACAAATGAATACAGTAGTTCCTTATACTTTTAGAGGAAACTATGCAGTTATTACCATGTTAGAGTAATATCCCTGCAGTTATGTCTTGCTAAATTGAAGTCATTACCGATGACATCTGGAGTAATTACCAGAGGAAAAAAAACCCTTGTCCATTCATGATCTAAAATTTATTGATAAATGCCCAACTGCAGGAGGCGAGGTGGTGAGGACAAGACAGCTTTACATATACAGTACAAGACAACTTTCAACCCACAGTTATAAAATCAAATCTTCTGGGAAAGTAACGAAAGTTTGTCCCATAAAACAAATCGACAAACATTAATGTGTGTGTGTGTGTGTTGGGTGTGTGTGTGTGTTGTGTGTTGGGTGGGTGTGTGTGTGTTGGGTGTGTGTGTGTGTGTTGGGTGTGTGTGTGTGTGTGTGTGAATCTAAGAATGCCACCTCAACACTAGGCTATACGAACTAATACCGTAGAAACAATAAATAAATTTGTACACGTTCCTTCCTATACATGTCAGTATTTTTATAACTAGAAGTGGAATCCCTTGTAGAATGCCCTAACACAACCCTAGTGCACATAACCCAACAACAGGGACGCTGGAGAGACTGTATCCATGACGCATCTATCGTCCAATTAATACTAAAGATTGTCTAATTTCGAGTTTAAATCGGTATTCTATTGGTCACCACTCCGCTATCCTGGGCTGCTCCTGACCAACAGAAATTTTACTCCCTATTTTCCGGATTGTCATTCAGAAACGTGAGATTTTGTACTGTTTGGTATTTTAGTTTTCATTTTTTTTATGCGTTCATTATTTCTGAGGCAAGACGGTTTGTATTATTCAACTTAATGTTACGTAAATTTTTGTAGGGATGAACCGCAGAACCATGTGAAGTTGTATGTTAAATAACTGTTGTTACCATGAGAGTATTATTAGGAGTCTTATTTTACCAATGAACAACGAAAATAGTAAATACTTTATAAAACACTTAGAATCATTTGGTCCCGGGCGTCTAACATAAACAAACCAATGTATTAAAAACTTCTTCATTCAATAATTTATTAATCAGTGTTTCTAAAAGGGGGGAAATTGGCTCTATACAAACATTCTGTGCAATAATTGTTGTCTTTTGTAACCTAACCAATGTCTTTGATAACATGAGCTGGATATTGTCTACCATAGTGATATAAATTATGTCTAGTAATGCTGCTTATCATTAAGTTTATCTTTGTATTAGGGTAAAGTAGTACAAAATCAGCTATGGTTGTTAACTTCCAGCTCCCACCTTCATTGTTTGCCCCCGTGAGCGTTTAAGTTATATTATGATAGAATTTGTTGATTCTCTCAGGAGCGGGGAGAGAAATCTTGCCACAATGACGATTACACCTTGGCCTCCCTGTTGTGGATAATAGCTGAAATTTTCACCACCTGACTTGAAGAAGGACCTTCCTCTCTCATCCTTATACCTGGAAGCTTCGTGTAGGAGTAAATCTAAGACGAATAATTTATGTTCCAGAATGGTGTCACTGAGGGGGGGGGGTGAGATCTGGGGTGGTGGTTGTTCTACACTGACGACTATTAGGGAAGTTTCTTCATTCCAGTCTCCTCTTGGTGGGCGGGACGAAGTCAGATCTGTAGTGTGCGCTGACGAAGGGCGTTGTGGGTGCTGCTGGGGCCTCCTCCTGTTTCTGTGCCCTGCGGAGTCTGATACACAGGACGCCGCATGCTGCTGTTAAGATGCCCACCACCACAGCCACCATACCTGCAGCAGTAATAACACAGGTAAGTTTTAAGTGATATTTAAGCAAGAATCGTGTTTTAGGGTTTTGTAAAATAAAAGCAGAAACTCTTTAATTAGGTTAGATTAGATTAGATTAGGTTAGGTAGGGTTAGGTTAGCCTTAGGTTAGGTTAGCGTTAGGGAGGTTATTCTTAGATGTAAACTAAACTAAACGAGCTAATCTTAAGGTAGTCCACAAACCTTAATGTAAAAAGCAATCCCAAGATGTCCCCCAGAGTGTCAAAATTACATAATATATTGGAAGACATCTATGAGACAAGACCAAAACGAGTAAGTTACCAACGCCCTCACATCACCAGGTACAGCAGTAAGGTACTAATTAGACACACAACGAAACCTTAACAGTTGTAGTCTGTTGTTGAGTCTGTTCTATGGGAGGTAACACTACTTAGCACGGAGGTAATCTCAACACACTATACACCGGGCCTTAAATATTACTACAGTACAGGTATATGTTGTGGAAAGGAGGTAATATCCACTCACCTGCCAGTGCTGAAAACGTTCCATTCTTGAGGCAAACGTTCTCATTATCAGTGTCTCCTGTTAACGAGAAATACAATATTATTAGTTTGTGTTAAGTCATTAAGTCTTTGTACAGTAATCTTCGCTTGGTACACGTGATGATCTATGGATGGAATGGGTAGGTTGGGTGTTACCTCCTCCCACATTTTTATCCCTTAATAAATTTACTCCACTGCTTCAGGTTAGGTTAGGTTAGGTTAGGTTAGATTAGGTTAGCTGAAGTTTGGTTAGGTTGAATAAGATTAGGTTACGAGGAATGAAGTTATGTTAAGATTAGATTAGGTTGAATAAGGTCACGGGAAATTAAGTTTGGTTAGGTTAGATTAAAGTTATTTTGGCTAATTTAAGTAACACCGAGGTAGGGGGACTTACTAAGGGCTGGTCGCAGGAGCTGGTCATCACGCACTACCTGTATCGACTGGAAGAGGCTTAGACTCTCAGACACGTTGGTATGTGCACCCCCGAGGTCCTCCTTCTCCACCGACCGACGCTGTTTCTTGGTGCTCCTCCAGTGGCAAGGCTGAGTCTGTAGGAGGGGGAAGAGGGGGACACGGGAACCTAGTTAGTGGTCTTGCTGTGGGAGTCTGTGCCTGACAAGGGTATCGTTATGTTCTTTCACTCTCTCTCTCTACCCACGCGTCATTTTTTTATCCTTCACACCTCACACATCACCCCACACCCCTCACACATCACCCCACACCCCTCACACATCACCCCACACCCCTCACCCCACACCCCTCACACATCACCCCACACCCCTCATACATCACCCCACACACCTCACACATCACCCCACACCCCTCACACATCACACTACACCCTCACACATCACACTACACCCTCACACCACACTTACCGGACAGTCACCATGACACATCCTCACATCACACTCAATATACAGCGCCGGGGAGCCAGTGAACCGGAATGTCTTCATGAACGCGTACACCTGAGTCTCATACACCCCCTCGGCTGTACGCGCTCCCTCGAAGTGGCTGATCAAGGACTCATCCAGAGGGCACCTGACGAAGGCAACGATATAGTGAACGGGTGTTGTGGGAGGAGGATTGTGGGGGTGGTGTTGTGGGGGTGGTGTTGTGGGGTGGTGTTGTGGGGAACGGGTTGTGAGGGTGGGGTTGTGTGGGATAGGATTATTATATAGGAGAATATAGACATATATTTTCAGGTTATGGCTTCTGTATATGTTAGTAAACCTTTATTATTATTATTATTATTATTATTATTATTATTATTATTATTATTATTATTATTATAAGCCGGTGAACACAGGACTTACCCGTAGTGGTCAATAAGAGCGATCCGTTTGTTGCCTCCGTTATGAGCGTAGCAGTCACTCACCACGATATCAAAGCCCTCTGGTGGTAGGAGAGAGAAACACATATGAAGCCACGATATCAAAGCCCTCTGGTGGTGGGAGAAAGAAACACATATGAAGCCACGATATCAAAGCCCTCTGGTGGTGGGAGAAAGAAACACATATGAAGCCACGATATCAAAGCCCTCTGGTGGTGGGAGAAAGAAACACATATGAAGCCACGATATCAAAGCCCTCTGGTGGTGGGAGAGAGAAACACATATGAAGCCACGATATCAAAGCCCTCTGGTGGTAGGAGAAACACATATGAAGCCACGCCCTCTCTTATTACACAAAAAGAAAACCATAAAGAAATGAAAGGTTACACATGATTGGTCCAGCTGTCATTTCTGCTGGAGACTCAGATGTTATTATACCCTAAAGCCAATTGTTAAACGAGACAGCTTCTTACACACACACACACACACACGAGGTTAACTTACAAGGTTTCAGGATTAGCTGTGGTCGTTGTATGCTAAGTGTGTGGTGAACAGAGAGCCACAGTCACTGATAAGGTTTATCAAATATTACTCATAGCTTCTATATCTGTGTGTGATGATCTGTATCTTGTCAAAATAATCAAGACCCCTAACGCAAACAGACGGATAGACAGACAGACAGACAGACAGACAGACAGACAGACGGACAGACAGACAAAAAAAACCACAAGCGACTAAATACAAACTGGATATATATCTAGATTTATTTGCATACCAAACTCAGAGCGCATGTAGATAACGAGTGTGAGGGGGTCGCCAACACGTACTGGACCCGTCACTCTGCTGCCTGTGGTGCCAATGCCGTAGCGGATCTCCATGTGGCACTCGGGTGGGGTCAGGGTGAAGACGACAGGATTCCCCGTCTGTACCCTGGTATAAAAGACGGGACATAGGGCATCAGTGGAGTGTTGATGTTGAGGTGTTATCTCTCTCTCTTTTTTTCATGATTCCCCTTTTTTCCTGACCTTCTTCCCTCCTTGACTTTTCTCCCTCCTTATCTCCAGTTTTACCCTTCTTACTTCTTATCATTTATTCCCTTCACTCTCAATCCTTTCTCTCTTCTTTCTCCTTCATTTCTCCCTCTCCCTACTTCCCTCATCCCTTCCTCCCTCTCCCCTTCAGTCCCCTCCTCCCTCTCTCCTTCAGTCCCCTCCTCCCTCTCTCCTTCAGTCCCCTCCTCCCTCTCTCCTTCAGCCCCCTCCTCCCTCTCTCCTTCAGCCCCCTCCTCCCTCTCTCCTTCAGCCCCCTCCTCCCTCCTCTTCCCCCTTAAAACTTACTCCACATCCAGGAAAGGAAAGGTCACAGTCTTCCAGAAGTCGTAGCCATATTCACAGGTGACCTTAAAGTGCTCGTCCCACACCTCCTCGATGAGCGGGTTATACTGCACCGTCAGGGTATTCCACATCATGTTCTTCTGCAGGAGAGAGAGAGCAAACCAACACCTTTATACACAACAACAACAACAACAACAACAACAACAACAACACACATGGACAGTGATGATCATTGGTGTGTGGGACTAATGTACACATCTCCTCACACACACACGCACACACACGCACATCCCAGTACTCACGGAAGGGGTACGTCCTCTGATGTCCTCTCTGCCCTTCTCGTTGCCACTTAGAGTACCACATCGATTCAACTGGATAAAGAAGTCGTAGGAATGGCGTCCCGACCCATTCACATAGATACAATCCCCGTCGTACGCGTAGCCTGTAAGATGTTGATATTTTAGGATGCATTACAGTGCGTCGTTTAGATAGGTGTAAACAGGTTGTAAACAAGAGATACACAGCCAGGATACTTAAACATACATGTGTGGGAATCCTTCTAAAAATACTTAAACAAGAAGCGTAAATCCTCTGGTACTTCAAGTAAGAGTTCAACATCAAATAAAATGAAATAACTACTAAGAAACATGTGTGAGCGGGGACTTGTGTTAATCCGCCCAAAATATAATGTAGTTTTAAGTCGTCCCTCTGGTCACTTGTAAGATCTTCGAGCCCGGAGGAACGAAGACGCTGTGGGATCTAAGGATTACCTGAGGAGTAGATGAGGCCGCTGAAGGAGCCATTAAACTGGACGTGTATTCTCATGAAGTCATCTTGACATTCAGCCTCGATATCTGTGGGTGATATACAGGTCAGGCCAGGTCACAAGTTGTTACAGGTAGCTACACAGGGCAAGAAATTATTACAGGTAGCTACACAAGTCAAGGCAGGTCAGAAATTATTACAGGTAGCTATACAGGTCAGGGCAGGCCACAGGTCACAACACCACAACACAGGTTACTCAACATCCACGCTTCTGCAGGGGTACTCACTAAGAACTCTGGTCATGTTGTGATGAGGTCGCTTGAGTACACCAGGACGTGTTGAGTACAAGCTGAAGAAGGGGTCCTCCTTGTCGATGATGGAAGCTCCGGGGGGCAAGAAGTGAGCGGGGCGGGGCCGGGGCGGTTGACGGGGCGGCAGGAGTCCATAGGGACTTGGTCGATAGAGTCCAGGGTTGTGACGTGACCCAACCTGACGATAAGAGAGAGAACTCGTGACGTATTCGATTTGTTGTTGTTGTGATAACTCGACAGATAAGTCATTCAATCTTATAGGATCTCACAGATAATGGACCTAATGTTCTATAACCCAGGTAAACCTAACCTTCCTCAACACCAACTTAATCTACTTTAACTTAATATAACCTACCTTAACCTAATGCAACGTAATCTAGCCCACCTTAACCCAAGCAAACCTATCTTAACCCAACCTAACCTATCTTAACCCAACCTAACCTAACCCAGCCAAACCTAACCTAACCTAACAGAGCGTCTTCACCTTTGACATCTACATAAAACAAACACACACAAAGGTAAGTGACGAAAATAAACAAAAAACCTTCTAACTTAAACCATAACCCAACTGTAACTCATCTATGTCTCAACAAACTCTGATCACCTCTAAATCCGTCTGTATATCGTTTCGACTTTCTGAACCACGAGAACGGTCAAGGTACTCCTCCAAGACACCTCCGCTTCTGCCTGTGGTGTCGAGAGGGCCGCGGAGGTCGTGATCGGTGGCAGTAGTGGTGGTGGCGGCAGTATTCTTGGGTCGTGAGCGGGTGTTGGGGAAGAGAGCTTGATCATCTAATCCGCCAGAACGTTCCGAAACACTCGTCATCAGATCTGGGATGAGTGAAGCAGCTTCGAAGTCGTCCGCTAAGAACACCATCTGTTAATGTAAGGTTTTATTTATACTTACGCCATTCTGGGTGCTGCTCTGACATGTAAACACTGATTTTAACGGAAATTGAAAAAAAACAAAAACACTTAGGAAGATAAAAATGTTTCTAGTTTCAGTTAATTAAAAACAAGGCTAGCAAAATGTTCTGGGTAATTTAGTTTCAGTGACGCTTTCCATGACGCAAGCACAGTACGTAACAGGCAGAGTCACTTGGGGGATATACCTGTTTTGTGTGTGTAGCAGTCAACTTATACATTATATCTACCTTGGTTTCCTTAGGTGGGAGGCGGAGGAGGGCAGATCTGGCTGCGCCGTGACCTTCCCGAGACACAGGAGAGGTGATAGGGTTGTCTGTAGTCATCTCCTGGTCCTCCTGCAGGTCGTAGACAGTGTGGAAGGTGGGCACCGCCTCCACAGGGGTCGGGAGGGTGACGAAGAGTGTGTGGTGGCCATTGGGTTGCGTGGCGGCCGCTAGAGAGACGCTCATGCACAACGCACTCGAAATCTATCACAGGAATATAGAATGTTAGAAAATATCCACAAACAGAATCATCGAATAATTTGTTGTTTATTAAAGCAGACGATATGAACCTACCCTAACCAAACGATAAATGTGGCTGGGTTAAGTTAGATTAGATAAGATTGGTTGTAATCTTCTTATCATCTCCCTCCCACCAGACAGAAAAAGTAAAAAAAAAAAAAATATGGTAAAAGTGAAATGATAAAGATAACAAATTCTCCCAATAAATAATGTTAGTCACTTGCATGTTATTAAATGAAAGCAGAAAATTTACCTATGAAAGAAAAACCCATCAATCCCATAAAAACAGATAGACAAATAAACAACAACTCCTCCTTCATTACACATCAAAGTCTTTTAAAGGAGAGAAATAATGTTGACCCATGTACGCTCAGACAACAGGAACTAACCATTACCACCACCATCACCCACGCTGAGGACGCTGACTCCCTCCTTCCCGCTGAACTTCTCCCTCGCTCCTCCATCACTCTGTTGGTGTAAACACAAACATCTGCATTAAAAGATGAATAATTAGTAACTGTTATATTCTGTCTAGGACCACTTGGGGGTTGAAGTGCCTTGAATGAGTCGATTTGGTCATTTCACGCATGCGCACTGAGCCACAAAATACGACATAGAATACCATGATGTTTGATCATGCATCGCCACACACTTTACAACTAGAATGATCAAACTTTAGTTGGTGTCTGGTACGCGTCGCCTCAACACTGGGTGGCAACAGGAGTAAGGAAGCAGCCTGTGTATGGCTATTATACATGCTCTTGAAACAGAGACTTCAAAGAAAAAACGAACAAGAAAATTATGGATGAATGAATGGCACAGACAAAGACCCAAGTTCTCTCACGACGCCCTATTAGTGGTGTCATCTCCTCGACGCCCTATTAGTGGAGTCATCTCCTCGACGCCCTATTAGTGGTGTCATCTCCTCGACGCCCTATTAGTGGAGTCATCTCCTCGACGCCCTATTGGTAGAGTCATCTCCTCGACGCCCTATTAGTGGTGTCATCTCCTCGACGCCCTATTAGTGGTGTCAATGGTGTCATCTCCTCGACGCCCTATTAGTGGTGTCATCCTCGACGCCCTATTAGGTGTGTCATTAGTGGTGTCATCTCGACACCTTATTAGTGATGCCATCTCCTCGACGCCCTATTAGTGGTGTGTCATCTCCTCGACGCCCCGCCCTATTAGTGGTGTCATCTCCTCGACGCCCTATTAGTGGTGTCATCTTCTCGACGCCCTATTAGTGGTGTCATCTCCGACGCCCTAGTGGTGTCATCTCCTCGATGGTGGAGTCATCTCCCTCGACGCCCTATTAGTGAGCCATCTCTCGACGCCCTATTAGTGGTGCATCTCCTCGACGCCCTATTAGTGGTGTCATCTCCTTGACGCCCTATCTTGACGCCCTATTATGGTGTCATCTCCTCGACGCCCTATTAGTGGTGTCATCTCCTCGACGCCCTATTAGTGGTGTCATCTCCTCGACGCCCTATTAGTGGTGTCATCTCCTCGACGCCCTATTAGTGGTGTCATCTCCTCGACGCCTTATTAGTGGTGGTGTCATCTCCTCGACGCCCTATTAGTGGTGTCATCTCCTCGACGCCTTATTAGTGGTGTCATCTCCTCGACGCCCTATTAGTGGTGTCATCTCCTCGACGCGCTTCCGCATTAGTGGTGTCATCTCCTCGACGCCCTATTAGTGGTGTTTTCATCTCTCGACACCCCTATTAGTGATGTCATCTCCTCGACGCCCTATTAGTGAAGCCATCTCCTCGACGCCCCTATTAGTGGTGTCATCTCCTCGACGCCCTATTAGTGCCATCTTCTCGACGTCTTGGCTAGTGGTGTCATCTCCTCGACGCCCTATATTAGGTGCTTCATCTCCTCGACGCCCTATTAGTGGAGCCATTCCTCGACGCCCTATTAGTGAGCCACTCTCGACGCCCCATTAGTGGTGTCATCTCCTCGACGCCCTATTAGTGGTGTCATCTCCTTGACGCCCTATTAGTGGTGTTTTTCATCTCCGACGCCCTATAGGTGTCATCTCCGACGCCCTATTAGTAGGCCATCTCCGACGCCCCATAGTGGTGTCATCTCGACGCCCTATTAGTGGGCCATCTCCCTCGACGCCCCTATTAGTGGTGTCATCTCCTCGACGCCCTATTAGTGGTGTCATCTTCTCGACGCCCCATTAGCGGTGCTATCTCCTCGACGCCCTATTAGTGGTGTCATCTCCGACGCCCTATTAGTGGAGTCATCTCCCTGACGCCCTATTAGTGAGCCATCTCCTCGACGCCCTATTAGTGGTGTCATCTCCGACGCCCCATTAGTGGTGGCCATCTCCCTTGACGCCCCATTAGTGGTGTCATCTCCTCGACGCCCTATTAGTGGTGCCTTTCATCTCCTCGACGCCCCTATTAGCGGTGTCATCTCCCACGCCCCTATTAGTGGTGTCATCGCCCTCGACGTTCTATTAGTGGTGTCATCTCCTGACGCCCTATTAGTGGTGTCATCTCCGACGCCCTATTAGTGGTGCCATCTCCCCGGACGCCCTATTAGTGGTGCTCATCTCCCTCGACACCCCTATTAGGTGATGTCATCTCCTCGACGTTCCCATTAGTGGTGTCATCTCCCCTCGACGCCCTATATTAGTGCGTCATCTCCTGACGCCCATTAGTGGTGTCATCTTCTTCGACGCCCTATTAGTGGTGCCATCTCCTCGACGCCCCATTAGTGGTGCCATCTCCTCGACGCCCCATTAGTGGAGTCATCTCCCTCGACGCCCCTATTAGTGAGTCATCTCCGACGCCCCTATTAGTGGTGTCATCTCCTCGACGCCCCATTAGTGGTGTCATCTCCTTGACGCTCCCTATTAGTGGTGCTTCATCTCCTCGACGCCCTATTAGTGGTGTCATCTCGACGCCCTATTAGTGGTGTCATCTCCTCGACGCCCTATTAGCAGGCCATCTCGACGCTCCTATTAGTGGTGTCATCTCCTCGACGCCCTATTAGTGGTGCCATCTCCTCGACGCCCTATTAGTGGTGTCATCTCCTCGACGCCCCTATTGCGGAGCTGTCTCCTCGACGCCCTATTAGTGAGCCATCTCCTCGACGCCCTATTAGTGGTGGCCATCTCTCGACGCCCTATTAGTGGTGCTTTCATCTCCTCGACGCCCCATTAGTGGTGTCATCTCCTCGACGCCCTATTAGTGAGCCATCTCCTCGACGCCTTATTAGTGGTGTCATCTCCTCGACGCCCTATTATGGTGTCATCTCCGACGCCCTATTAGTGGTGCCATCTCCTCGACGCCCTATTAGGTGGAATCATCTCCTCGACGCCCCATTAGTGGTATCATCTCCTCGACGCCCTTATTAGTGGTGCTGCCACGCCCTTCGACGCCCTATTGCGGTGTCATCTCGACGCCCTATTAGGTGTCATCTCCGACGCCCTATTAGTGGTGTCATCTCCTCGAGTCTTATTAGCGGAGTCATCTCCTCGACGCCTATTAGTGGAGTCATCTCCTCGACGCCCCTATTAGTGGTGCTTTCAAGCATCCTCGACGCCCTATTAGTGTGGTGCCATCTCCTCGACGCCCCATTAGTGGAGTCATCTCCTCGACGCCCCATTAGTGGTGTCATATCCACGACGCCCCATTAGTGGTGCTCATCTCCTGACGCCCTATTATGGTGTCATCTCCTCGACGCCCCATTAGTGGTGTCATCTCCTCGACGCCCTATTATGGTGCCATATCCGACGCCCTATTAGTGGTGTCATCTCCTCGACGCCCTATTAGTGGTGTCATCTCCTCGACGCCCTATTAGTGGTGTCATCTCGATTCCTAGTGGTGTCATCTCCTCGACGCCTTATTTATTAGTGGTACAGGTACAGTAGGGGTGGAGGGAGGCACATAGGCAAATCCACGTAAAAATAAAAAATAAAGTTTGACCAACATATTTGATAGTGTGTGGGCGTCTTAACCTTTTCGTTTTTGTGCTTCGTATGTACTGTTATATATAATTATTAAGGTAAACAAACTATAGCAGGGGATTGTATCAACGATCTAACGAATTTCTTTTTTATTTCAATGATTCTGTTCCCGGGCGTGTATCAGCAACTCAAGTGTTTCAGAACTCGCATGAATCTACCTAACTATACGAAGTCGCGGTTACCAGACGCCGTAAAGATCGACATTAAGGAAAAGTAGAATAGAGGTAAGGCCTTCATTTTCTGTTTGGCAGCGTAACGCATATGCAAATCAATGGCTGGGAGGGGAGAGGCGTGTCACTGTGTGGGCTGAAGTGTCGAGGAAAATTCATGGGTGGTATAAAGTGAATCACGCCAGAGTTATATCTCCCTCACACGCGAGAACAGAAAAGGAAACGCAATATTGGATCATCAGAAGATTAACCTACAAGCTTATGTCACTTTAAGATTAATCAACCAAATCTAACCTAACCTAACCTAATCTAATCCAACCTAACATGAACTGAATTGAACCTACCTAACCTACGAGGAACTAGTCTATCAGTCGCATGTTGTTTATTAAGTAGCTTGTTTATTAAGTCGCTTGTTGTTTATTAAGTCGCTTGTTGTTTATTAAGTCGCTTGTTGTTTATTAAGTCGCTTGTTGTTGATTCATTCGCATGTTGTTTGTTTATTCGTTTGTTGTTTATTAAGTCGCTAACCCTACCGGGGATAAAATGCAGCTGAGAGTCAAGAGATGCGGGACTACTTTACACAGCGAACTACTTCACCCGGGCGCGGAGGCCTCATTACCACCAGCGTGTGGAAATAATGTCTGCTCCGCAATTCACGGCCCATGGACAGACACCCTAACATTGTTACTTGATCTCTCGCACCTCCAGCTCATGTTATTGGTTTCTCATCACCTGTCCGCTAAAATCTCATGGGCGCTGATGTATCGGAAGTGGCTACTAACACCAAATGCAATAAATATTTCTTTTAACCGCTATTTACTCTACTGTGACAATGGCCAGTATATCACAGCATGTCTCCACGGTTACGCTGGTGACCACTTTGAATAACATGTAGCTTAAAGTTCTACTCGTGTCTGCCTCCTGATGCTACCAAGGTTCTAGACAAGACATATCCCGTTCAGTGCCAGATTTAGACCTGTGGAGGCCCATGGGCAGCCTCTTTGTGGAGGCCTCCCTCATTATAACTACCCAAGAGGGTGGGGTGGCGAGTGAAGCGAGCCTAAACATCTGGGAGTTCCGGGGGGCGCTGTAAGCCCCCCGGGAAAACTGTGAAATTTGAACACTTCTTTGGAGAATGTTGAAGCCATATGCAGTTATATTGAGGAAATTAGAACATATTGTAATATGTGGAGGTCCTGGGCAGCTGCCCACTTTGCCCACTCCTGAATCCGGCCCTGATCCCGTTTTGGTGAACAGATAACTTTTTCACCCAAAGTGGTATAAACTTGCACGGAGTCCATGTGTATTAGGTT